CAGCGTACAAAGGTTTAATGAAGTACACTATTTACAATCCTTACAGCATGTACAGTCGATTAACTACAAAGGTAATTTACAATTTCAAACTACAGAAAACTACATTCAAGTCTTAGATACAAAGTCTACAGACTCATTAAACGCGAAGTAGGGCTGGTTATACGTTTCTTTACAGTTACACCTTCAGGGGGAAGAGTTCACAGGAGAACACAAGCATTGTACTGCTGGAATGCTTAAAAATCACCAAGTACAGAGGGACACGTGGATAAAGAAAAAAGTTCACTGTTTCAGAGTAATCTCTCTGCTTGAGGAAACAATGATTTCTCAGTGATTTATATCAAAACATGGAAAAATCTAAGATCCTAACAAAAGTGAGTGGGATTTTTTTCCTCCTCTATCAGCTCCTTCCATGGGAAGAGAAACAAGAAAATACTGTATGCAGAAAGATAAAGCAAGTGCATGAAAGGGGATATAGCGGAGTGGTACATTCATCCTTTTCCCCAGTATTGCCTTTCTGGAGTTGTCTCCATTTTAAAAATGTGCTTTTGTGCAAGCCAGCAAGGCATTTCGGGTGTCAGGCTGCACAAACAAGTGGCATAAACTTTAACTTAGGAAAAACTGTCCATCTGTGAATGGGTAGAGATCATAGTTTGCAAAACTTTCAAAATAATTTGTGTTATAAATAATCAGAATAATCAGCTCAGTCCTTCTGACAGTGTAAAAAACCATTACATCCTTTGTAATTCTCTCAAACGGTCCTTTTATAGTCGCTCTGTCATTTAAGATTCTCATGATCAAGAAGAGTTAACATCCACATTTTAAAACACACGGCTGCAGAGAAGCACCAAAGTACTGGAAACATCACAGCCAAGACTATGCTTATACTAGTTCTCACCTTTTTTTTTTTTTACTTAGTGCTATAAAGTTTTTACTCCATTGAGAACTCTAATAATTTGGGCAACATGCGCATACTGATGTCATACTGCAAAACAGAAGAAACTTCCTCTTGTATGGGGATTTGCTGACAGCATTTGGAAGGTCTGGTTGCATTTTCTAAAACTATTTCAGCTCAGTATATAAACAGGTAAAATATAAGGCTCCCCAGAGTGAAAAATGCAGTATTAATACAAGATCCTTTAACGCACTAACACTAGAAGCCACAAAAGGTACAATCGAAAGCTTCTGCAATCAGTGGAAAGACTGCCGCTGATTCCAGTGACTTCTGCATTAGGTCCTAATTGGTAAGGAGGCTGAACTCCACAACGTACTAATGAACAAATGAAACAGGATGTGCTCAGGCTGCAGTATGTGCACCTCATGAAAGCAAAGAAAGACTTTCTACCATCTACTGCCTTCACCCAAATTTATGGGAACAAATTCCAGCATGTCTAATATAATTTAGTAGCATAATTCAGAAATTTAAGTTTATATGCACTCTACTGACATTAACATAAAATATGAAACCTTATGAACAATCAAAACAATACAGACCACTAAGGAGACACCACAGACATCATTTTAATCAACAAGCACTGCAAGTAAATTATACCTCTGAAATCCAGATGCATTAGAATATATGTTGAGCAACTTGACAATTGTCTTTCCAAGACACTTTTCGAACACATGATCTAACTCTGGCTAGGAAAAATACTATAAAATCTTTCAATGGGCTATCTAGTAAATTACTAAAAATCCAAGTGAAAGCTGATTTTAAACTGTTGGGAATCTACTGCTTTGTACCTCACTGGTTAAGAGCTACTATATTTCATAGCTACAGAGAAACGTGAACTGGAATTGAAGCTTTCTATTACCTAGCACAGAGTACCAGATGTTAACTCAGTAGACTTATTGTCTACTATTCTGGTTATACTCAGATTCATATTGTAATAAAAATGGAAGTTTCCTAATATGACTGAGCAGAAGATTAGCACTTGAGTCGGAACTCGATAAGGAATCCAAATCTTCAGAGCCCTGGCGATAACCATACTTCGTATGACTGAGGGCTGAATCTTGCAAGTTGCAGGGGCCCTGGAGTACTGAGCCTGCTAGTGTTTGGTAGGACTAAGCCCTCAATAAATTTCTTGTAACTTAATGGCATATTAATATGTTGCTCATCAGCAAAAATGAACACATGTATTGCACCTGACCTGAAAAAAAAGCTTTAATTGAATGCAGTTTACACTGGACATCCTAGTATAACTAAAAGGACTGGGGAACAAGGCTGCTGGATCAAAGTGACATACCTACTCTCTGAATCATTGAAACTCCAGAGCTACTGACAAGAGAAATGAAACCTGTGGATCAGGTATGTTATTAGTCCTTTAGCACAGACAGACTTGACACTGCTTCCCAGACAGATGAGAGCTGGGAATGCAGCACATGGACCTGCAGAGCTACATGGAAGAAACGTTTTTGTCTTCAGGAAGCTGTCCTGCAAAATTTGTCACCGAGATTTTTGTGGCTAGGAAGGAAAATACCAGTGGAGATTTGAAACAAGTGTCTTGGACATTCTTCCAGCAGCATGGGCTGAAATAGCAATTATGCCATTAAGCTTTAGGTAGCTTTACATTACAGCCAATCACACTATACACTGCTTGTCATCTAGGCTGCAAAAGACAAATCTTTAGAAAAACCTCTGTCTAAAGTGTATACTATATGTAGTCTATCTCACATTGTCCCATGTGTACATGGGAATTTTACTTTCTCTAAGATCTACTAAAACATCCACTGCTGTTAAATACTGCAGATGAGGAAATACATTACCATTTCATAGACAGCTATTGAAAAAACAACTTACTAGAAATTCCTGTTTACAGGTGATATTCCTAAGTTTCTTATTATTTAGTCTAAATGCACTGTTTGATCAGGCAGAATCAGCTTTTCCCAGCATAATTAGACCACACATGAAGCAAGAACTGTTTTGTAAGATTCTTTTGCTTGGAAAAAGCATCTTGCAGAATTCTAAAACGCTGTTAGCTTTGCAGCAATAACCATCCCAATTTGAGGCACTATTATACATTTGATGCAAAATTATAAGTATTTGAAATACCTAGTTAAAATTTAACATGCCAGGAAGCTTAATTTTACCATAGTTTACAGATTTTTTTTTTATTTTTTGTTTACCCCAATTTTGCTTATCTTAGCCAGCCTGGAGAAAAGCCAATTCATTTCCTAAATACATTTAAACAGCAGGTTAGCATAATGCCATAGCTGTTAGGATTATTAAAACTCCCATTGATACTATGTTACCTACAAATTGCCCTTAAGTTGTCCATAGGGCAGACAAATAGATCATGAAGACTTGCATCTGCTGTTTTGGGGCTTCAGGTGATTACTGTCTAGGTATTAAATAACCTGACACTTAAGCATGTATCTACAGACACCATTTATGCATGCACATCAGCAGAGTGGAGCTCACTATTGAATAAAGCAAATTGCGTTGCTGCCCTCAGAATACAGCTGGAGAGCATGCTCATTTGTTACTTTGCAAAAATGTGCAGTGAAATTCCTAGCTTTTCTTGTGCACGCCTTAGTTTAGACAGCACATATACATTCACACCTTTGCAGATTATATAAAGGATACTGCTTCCTGATGTAAAGAATTGACTGCCCTAAATTTAGGGTGGCTGCATTATGTATAAGATTTCATATATGCAGCTCAGGGCTAGTAGCAAGAACAACAAAACACAAGGATAACAAACAGCCTTTGTACAACTGTTCTACACAAACTCTGTTGGCTCAATATTCACTTCCATTTCTCAAATTTCAAGTTTTGATATCAAAATACTACAAACAAACCCCACATCATGTCCAGAAGGATTAAGTTTATTTTTCATGAAAGGTTCCACATGCTTATTTAAAAGTGTACTTGCTGCACAGAAAGTTTAATTTATGAAAAAAAAAGGAAAATATATGGCTCTTAGAAGTTTGGTCCTCCAGGATATCTACCTATTGTGACTGACCCGCAGTCACTAGCATAAAGGCCAGCCTGGCGTTAAAGCTTCCACTGTGAAAGAGCTTGCAAAAGAGCAGGAATTACCATGTCTTGTTATTAACAGCCTACCCCTAACCAGAGTCAGAGTAGGAACAAGAGAATCTGTTAAGTTACAGGCCCACAAATAGAAGGACAACTCAGTAAGTCACTACTCAATTTTCCTCCTGAGCAGTCCCAGAAAATGCAACCCAGACCTTCTTGTCAGAGGCACATTCTTTACAGCAACAGGGAGATAGATGACAGTATGCGACACTAAATAGCAAAGCTGGTCTGATCATCCTGCCATCTGGAGTCTGCAACGCATACAGCTACGCTCTGCTAACTCAATGTATGAACACAGACAAACTTTGTACTTGCTAACAGGTACTAAGGTACTATTTTTGTACTGAGCTAGCAGGTATTCCTTTTTTTGAACATTTTCTTCAGCTGCTGAGGTATATGTACTGTAGAAAATAAAACAACTCATACATTTCCCCAGCTACCACAATCGAAAGCTACATTAGAGTGGTCATTTTATCCAAACTATCTAACAAAATGCATATAATTCACTCTGTTAAAGTAAAAAAACCACTTGCACTATAAGGATCAGGTTCTTTTTCTTCTTTACAATTAAGACTTCTGAGAGTCTGACTGCTGGAAACGGTTTAGCTTCTCTGGATTATTTGATGCCATTTGAGAAAAGTCACGAAAAATGTCCTGATAAATTTCATCTCCTAGGCAGAAAAGAAAAGGGAAACAGTTTTAAACATTTGTGATAGTTAACATCACCCACCGTCACACAAGTACCCTACTGAGCTACCAATTACTGTATAACACTTATTCATGTATAAAGATTGTTTATAGATGGAATGATGCTGATGTGAACTCTTCGGGACTGTTTACTTGCATGCACATTCTGCAGAAGCAAATTAAACAAAGCCAAACTATACCTGAAATAGTACCTCACAGGCAGCCACACAGAGGAAAGTTCAGAGTTAGAAAGGAAAAATGAAAGCATTTTAAAGCAATGTAAAAAGAAAAATGTTTATTAGCTATTAAAGAATAAAATCATTGTTTTTGCAAGGAAGTGTAACCAAGATTCTCTTCAGGAAAGTAGAATTATGCCATAAACAGCCAGACATCTTACAGCCAGACAGAACTCTCCATGAAAGAAACAATTAGCATGTATAAAAAAAACCCCCAATCCTAAGTAGAGAAATTGTTCATAAATCTATTACTTCAGCAAATATAAATTTTTACATGCATTACTGAACAGTCATTACATCTTTTAGTTTTATCTGTGAGAGTGATGATACTTTCTTTAAAGATCTTTCATTTGTTTGTTTTTGGTTTTTTGTTTTTGTTTTTGTTTTTGTTTTTTTTAAAATCTTCACACTTTGTGCTTAAACACAACCCGATTTCTAGTATGTATTCCAAAATAAAGGATAGCAGCAATTTCCACCAGGCCTGTCTCCCTCCCTCTCCCTGTCTACAGAGGAAAACACATTCAGGAATGATTACTTCTTGAATCATTGCCAAGTCATTCTTTTGCCACTTTAAAGTGGACATTTTCACATTCTTTCATCTGCTGCAGCATTTTAGGCCTTGAGTTCAGGTTTCATTTTAAAACATTAACCATACTATCACCTTCAAAGGGAATTAAATGCATAAAACATTTGGTCTGGTCAGGAACTATGCAGCCATCCAAATTTTACTGTCTTCCCAACACAGATGACCACACAGGACACAAGATGCCAGCACTACTGTTCCTTGCTGACAGCTTGATTAATAGCATGACAAAGAAATCAACCCAAAAATCTCATCATGTCTGTTGACCGTGAAGATTGGTTCCCCCTCCCAATATGTGGAAGAAAAGTATCATTCCACCACTTTTTTCCCAAAGGGCAGTTTTATAAAGGATATTTTTGTGTTTAAAAGTTTGACCCACAGGGAAAAGTTACATTGTTTTTCCATCTTTTAATGAACATTTCCAATATCAGAACTATTATTCTTCTGGAGATGAGACTCCATTCATTTGAAAACACTTTCAGAAATGGTAACTGACCTCCCAGAAATATTTAACATGCATGGCATGTGGGCTTATATAAAAACATAATGACACAATCTTTCCCAGACTTTAAAAGATAAATACATTCAATACTGCTGTACTAGGAAAAGTCAGTTCTAGTGAAGTTCCCTTTTGGTTTTCAGACTAAGTTTCAAGTATGTTCTACAGGTGAAGCAGGCACAGGACACATTTTATTTTAACAGTTTCTGATAGCTGCTTGCATTGGGAGATAAGCACAGAATGGAGGGAGTTATAACATTCACCAAAAGAACAGCTATGAAGAGCGCAAATTGGAATCAAGCCTGTATGATAAAAGCAATTATGCTTTTAATATGGAAGTGGGTTCTACAGGTGAACTAGTACTGTAGTTCAAGTTGCCATATTTGGTTCTTTCAAATTAACTTGAAAGAACAAACAAAAGCTATTTTTGCAAGATACATTGTGGCTCTGGTTTTGGCTCTATTACATAACAAAAATAATACATACAAAAATAGACTAAAATAAAGTGCCCCTTTACTTTGTATGCTGCATTAAAATACTTAATACTGTAAACCTTGTAATTATTTTAAAATCTTACTTTAAAATTGAATTCTGGAAATTCCCTTTCCAAGCAATGTTTTCCCTAAAGTGCAGATTTTATGTACAAAAATACTATAACACTGCTTTACCATTTAACACCAGAGTAACTCAAAAGGCACACATCATACATTCAAGAAAAGATAGGAAGAAAAAGTAGCAATGCTAATATCAAATAGTTAGCAGACATACTGTAGCACCAGAAGATGAGCACTCAAGTATTATACAAGGAACAGTACAATGGTGCATATGGCTTCTACCACCAGAAATGAGCTTTGTGGAACAAGTTAGTTTCAGCTAGTTCCCATTCTAGGAATATTTTGGAAGACCAACTGTGCCTTGCAAAGCAATATACACATTCTCTCAGTAGCTCAAACCAGCTAGGTATGTTTAAATTAGAAATGTTGATGCCATTAGCTACATAAGTAATAGTTCATCAACGGCATTATTAAAGCGGAGAAATAACCAGTTGGCTTCACTCTGATGACAGCAAACTCATACATCAATATTTACCCTCACATAGCTCCCAGCAAACATACAATTGCCTTGAAAATCCTTATTTTCTTCTAGAATCATAATTTTGGAAAAGAGAAGTTCTAAAATAAGGGCAGTGTAGATAATTTAATATGTATACGTAGTGAAAAAGACCTGTCTCCTCTATGACCATGTAAAGGTATCATACCTTGCAGAGACAGGTTTTGTGCTTATACTTACACATTTACACAACCCTTCTAGCAGGCTAGCAGATACTAACATTTAAAACACTCAAATATTTACTTCAACTTTTAAAAGAGACTTCAGCAAGTAAAGAATCAAGGAGTAAAGAGCAGAGCTATACTATCTAAAGATACAGCAAGATCTCCTGACTGGGACACTACGCTACAGCTTGTTGCTTGCATTTCAAAAATTATTCTAATGACATCCTCCCCTTGATTTTGGACAAGGTCTATCCATTGTGGCAGCTCTACTTTCCATTGTCAATTTTGCCTGTTTACAAGGATCAGATACTATCTGTAAAATATCTGGATCAGATCGCATCAACTGCAGTCTCTAGATTCTACTGTAATACAAACAGATCAAAAGGTCAAGATATTTTCAATGAAAGACTTTGCCAGCTTTTTATTTCATCTACCTACTTGAAGAATCTCTCTAAAAAATATTTTAAGCAAGATGTCAGGGCAAATAGTCTTCTCCATCTCCAGTTTAAACACATTCATATTTTCATGTAAGTAGTGCCTGTATTTGTTATGAATGAAACATTTTACTAAACATTTGTAAAGTTTAGTAACCAACAGACACTTTTTGTACAAGCTATAGAAACATATTTTCTGGTTTATACTAATTTTGGATTAGTGACGGGTTAATTAAATGACCTAAAATATTCATTTATGATTTAGCACAGAGCTTTTGAATATACCTACCTCTCTTAAAACAAATGTTTACTATTTGAAACTGATAGCTATTATTTTACCTCAAACTAAAAATAAGGAAACTCAAAAATACTTTAATATTTGTTACCTTCAGCCTGTCACTGAACTAGTATGCATTATATCAGAAAACAGCTTTATATTCAAAATGGCCAAACTGGCAACAGAATTTTTTCATATACATAGCCTGCTGCATTTTCTGAGTGGGGAATTCTTCCTCATTTAAGCTCATAGTCAAGTATATATTTTTATCTGTTGCTCTGCCAAAGAAAATATTTGAATGTTTGACTGTCCATAGTCCTTTTGTTGTTTCAATTTGAATTTCCTAGAATATTTGTTTAAAAATACATTTGAAAAACATCTATTCTTAAGGAGAAACTAAATAAATTGGGTTTATTTAATAGAATTCATCTGGGATATGGACATGAGACTCAGTGTTGCCCCTTGAGTATATTGCAGTCCCAATCTGGTAAGAGACATAAGCACACACAATCAGTAGAAAATACATAAGGGCTTTATAGGAGTGAGCCAAGAGTACTTAGCACTCAACCTTACAGATAAGGTTTGCCTTTCACTACTGCCAGGTATAGCGGTGCGTTTTTAGCTCTCTAACTTGACAATCAAGTGTGCCTCCGTTATTGATATTTGCACAAGATTAAATCAGGTTCCTATGGAAGTATACCATAATAGAAGAAATGGATTGCCTAAATATCACATCAGAACATAGTGTAAATTGGGACTGAGTGCCTGACAATAAATTTGCACATATTCATTAAATATAAATTGTTACTTTCTTGTACCAGTTGGCTCAAATATCTGCCAATTCTATTTTTTTTTAATCAAATGGTTAAGATACTATGCATACAAAAATACATACTTAAGAATGACTGTTTTGTTTCTGATTTGTATCTTAAATAAAAATATTTTAAAATAAAATTTGAGGAAATAATGCTTTCCTATTTCTGTCTGGAGTTGTTTTGAAATATTTGATGTACATTTTTACATTGGTGTGTAAGCATTTTTTCTTAAGAAAAAGAGAACCATTCCACAGGAAGGAGAATGGTATCCTGTAATAAGATGAACTCCTCAACTGTCTCTGAGCAACCTGAGTCAGAAGGCTGCTATTAAGTAACATCAGGTAAATCCTAACATTACGTGAATTTCAATGGAACATCAACAGGAGGAAACTGTGGACAACTACCAGCAAAACAGGTTGGTAATGGCTGTAGTAACACACACTACTATAATAATGTACTTTAAACTCTCCTTTTAGGTCCCCTAAATACTCTGACAAAGTCACATCAGTGAATTTCAATGAAGTTTTAACATGTGTCAGTTGTTTATAAAAAACATTATTGTATGAAGCTATTTCAAATTTCCCTCAGATCCTAAGAATCTAATTGTAAACTGATAAATTCCTGAATACACTTCTTATACTGCATTTCAGTATGGTTATTAGTAGAGTATTGACCTGGCTGTCCATAGAGTCCTTCCGATTCACGCATTTCTTCATTCATCCTTGCTAAGCGCAACCTATGATTTAGGAAACAAAAAGAACAATGTAAACTTTAAAGCACTAAAAAAGACTGCAATTCAAGACCTACAATGCACTCCTGAACCTCAAACCAGTGAGGTCATCTATGGGTAGTGTGCACTCTGAGTTTTCTTTCGTTCTCCCAATTTCGACATTTCTTAGGTTTTTAACTTCAAACAGAATAGGAAAACCTAGTTACCTAGTCAAAAACAGAACATACAACTTACAATGTTACAATATCTGCATTTGCAGCTTCTACTGCTATACTCAATGGATCTTTCCCATCTTCATCAGTGGCATGCTGGTTTGCTCCTCGTTTTAGGAATAAACACACTTGTCTGTTTAAAAAAAGCATTTAAGAAAAATTTTCACAACAGTAAAGGAAAAAGGCAAATAAAAGTGGATGCAATGTATTTGGCTTAAATCACCAGAAGTTTCTTGCACATATCAAAACAGCACTGTTCATCTAGAACAACTAAGACATTAACACAGTAGTAGGCAAAACCTTTAATTATTTAATCCACATTAGAAAGATAGCCTAACTCAAATCACACTAGTGCAGCAAGGAGCTGAACCCTTTAGAAGGGAGACTCCACCTTCCTGTATCATCTTAGGTTGTAGAACCAAAAAACCTCATCCCTTTTACCATGACAGACAAGAACCACTGAGCAGAATAAATCAATATAGGAAGGAATACAGTTCACAGGTGCCCAATTTACCCAATAGAAACTGATCTCATGTTTCTCTGCTATTATAATTCTTCATCTTTATAAACAGAGCATACCGGCTAAGCTTACGTCTTGTACTCTCCCGAGCTGTTGCACTCTATTTAGAATTCATGCCTGCAAAGAGTTTGGGCACTACCAACCAGATTCTGATGTCCTCATTTGAACTGAGCTGGTACAGGGTTTCAGTTAAAAGTCATGACTCCAAAACTCAAGATGTAGTGCAGTATATTTTGAAATGAGATACACTCTCAGCGCAACATACAGGTAGGACGAGTCAGAAAAAAGCCTTGGCTCTCACACATCACTATTCCTCCTATTTGTATCCTATTTCTTAAGAAAATGAGAAAAATCTCATGAGCCTTCACCAAAAGTTCATGCTATTTCAGAGTATTATTAAACACGTTCTTATAAAATGGACCAAAGTGTGTTTATAGGTGTGTGTTTTGCTGGTGGATGAGACTGCTAATTCAAAATGTTACTTCCTCTCTCTCCACAAAAGTTTAAGAAAAACCTAGATCACCTGAAATATATTAAAATGCCAGAATATTTGGGGAAATGAAGAAGGTTCAACGTGAACAACTACAGTAAAGGTTGGCCATTTGCAAATTCTGGAACAGTGGGTTACCCAGTGTGTCCTAGAACCGTGGCATGGTGCAGGGGTCCTCTTCCTTTCATGTCTCTGATGTTCACATTGGCCCCATTCTGCAGCAAAAATTCACAAGTAACCAACGAACCCTATGGAATAAAAGCAAAGACACAATTCAGCATCAGATCTCTAGAATAAGAGCCAAACCTGTTCTGCCTTCTCACCACTGAGTCACATGGCAAAGAAAACAAAAAACAGATTTGCTTCCACACCAAATTTAAACACTACTAGGTTATATAATACCAAACAAAGCATTAACAGGAAAAAAATAGTTCAGAAACAACTTTGAGAGAACACTGTAAAGACAGCTTCAGCATCACATTATCATTCATTAGCAAAGCAAGCAGTTCAAAAGGAACAGTGACACAGAAATATCCCTATTATTCCCCTTCCCTTCCTCCCACATCAGTCAGTGCTGTATATCACATACCCCTTGCACTGCCTGAATGAGTGGTGTTGCTTTGTTTTCTTCTACATTGACCCAGTTTACTTCAGCTCCATGGGCCAATGCTTCTGCCATATCGGGAAGATTCTTCTCAAAGGCAGCTCGATAGAGCTGCAATCCTGGGCTAGGCTGTTTGGAGTCACAGAACACAGAAGATTCTTGCTTGTCTCCTTCTGAAAAGAAAAAACAAATTGCTTATCTAATCCTTGTTTTTATAAAGTACCTCCTGGAATTCTGACCAAAAAAAAAAGTAATTTCTCTGGCATTAGGTAGCTCAGATTTTGCAGAATGTTGTGTGTTGTTGCCCCATTCTGCCAGAAGTCACAGATGCCTTTAGCTTGTTCCAGTATTCAGGCATGGCCACTTCATAGAATTATTACTGTCCCAGAAAAACATTCTGTCCACATTACTGACATGTGTGAATATCATCTAATCCACATATTCCATGTCATTTCTAAGAAATTATTTTAGGTTAGAAGTGTGTTTTATCCTACACTGCAAGACATGAATAAAACTAACTTCCTGCAGAGATGTAGTCACACAAATACATCTTTATCTGCAACAGCTTTATACATCTGAATATGAGGTTAATACTGTTCTGATCTAATTTTCATTAAAAGATACCGTTGTCATTTACCAATTACTTGCTGTGGCTATAATCTTTTGGACTAAAGCATAATCTTTCTTTCCATCTCTATAACAGTTACACAGAGTAAAGTCTGGGAGATAAAGACATTGTTATATATAAGCTTTCACAAGTTACAGCATCATAAGTGTTTCTACAATGCAGTCAAAGAAAGCATCCAAGCCACATGCTGCTTCCCTACAAACCACAGCTGTGAACTACTGGATTAAAAACATACTTCAGAAGAGTGCTTTGATGTAGAAAAATAAGTATGCTTTATAAATAAGTATTTTTAATATTTTGACAAGCCATATTCAATACCTCTGTCAGACAGGATGCTAATATTAGATAGCAAATAATTACATCAATCAATTTATAAAACTTTGAGTAAAGGGGGTAATGTTTAGAGACAAGGTCAATTGCACCCAAGTAGAAAACAGAAAAATTAAACAAGAATGCTCAAATAACACATAAAAGCCTATTATCTGTGACTTAACAGGAATTCTACCTCCAAGAATTTAACTATTCATAAAAGGATTATGCATTTCTGTCGAGACTTGTCTGTATCAAAACGCAGTGTCGCTCTATCTGCAAAAAAAAGTTCTGGCTCAGTACCACCTGACTGGAAAAATACAGTTTTCTGAACGCATTTAGAAGGATTCAATGTCATTCTTGCTACCAAGCCTGGAGGAGAGGAAGGTCATTCAAGCAATTATTACCCTTGTTAAAAATGTTTCAGCCCACCAGGATAGAAGAGACATGAATTGCATCACCAAGTACTAATCTCTTTTACAAGAACACACTACCAAGAAGTGATTAAATTTTCACCTTAAAATGCAAAGCCTAACACACCTGGTTCATACAAACTGTTAGTTGATATAGTAGAGGCAAGGTGTTCTCTGCTGTCATCAGCACTCTGCTGGATCCCACTGTCACTGCTTCTTACTGTTTTGGGGAGAAACAGTAATTACTATGCAGACCGTAAGTTACCTATTCTTCAAAGATACCATGATAATAAAGCAAGCTCTTATACTTGGTCCTGAATACATAATTTTTTAACAGTTACTAGTAATTATTCAACATTCTTAATGCATCTGTAGAAAAATATGAAGTCACATATAGCAACCATAACATTTATAATAATAATAATAAATGTCAAAGATTATTAGAAAGGAAAAGATCAGGATAAGTAAAAAAGCTTAAATTATTTCATGAAAACACTAAGCAATGCAGTAGCCTGGAGAAAATAGATTAAAGGCAGGGAGATGGCCACAACACACAATGGATCACTACTGCAAATACTGAACACGCCATAGCTGTAGTACTTACTACTACGTAGTTTTGAAGAGGTATCAAAGTAGGAGAAGAGTGAATCTAGTTCATCAGGACAGAACAGAGACTCCCGCCTCGCCTCGTCGCTACTTACAGCAACCGCTGGGACATGCAAGTTAGCAAAGCACAAAGCAGGCAGTAAGGAAGGGATAGGGCAGGAAAGAACGTTATTGGAAAAATCAAGAAGGATGAAAATACGGAGGAAAGAAGGTGGTTAATATGTTTCTGAATGATAAGCACCCCCACTCTAAATTCTTCCCCACCTAAAAATGCACATCTCTGAACAAGTCTCTTCTCCCCTATACTTCTGAACTAGGCTATGACCCATTAAAAGACAGATTCTGATTTCTCTGCACAAGGCAGGAAATAAATTAATCAAAAAATATGCTACTTTGAAAAGAACGTGTAATATAGTTAAGGAGAGAGGCGTGTAAATACCTTTTTGGGATGTTGCACCTTGCTCCCCTGCCAAAAGGGATTTTTCAGGGCCACTGTGACTTTTCTCTTCCTGACTTTGAGGCAAAACTTTTGTTCCAGATTCAAGCGGAGATGCTGACACAGGTTGCTTCTCTACAAACTTTCTTTCCACATATTTTGCTCTGATGTATGCCTCCTTCTCCTGTCTGTCATATACAAAATCCCTAGAGTTAGTAAGCTAGTATTTTAGTATTTTCATGTATTAAAAGAACATCTATTTCATACTAAAGCCAGCAATGAAAACTGTAGTTTGGCATTGCACATAAGACACACTGACAGTATGTTTTCAGAAAGATGAAAAGCACACTAACTCTTTCTGGATTCTTGATTAAATTTTGCATAAGGCTCAAAAGAAAGTAATTTTGTTAAGTTCATATGTGTATATTTTCTTTTAGGCAGAGACTTTAGAAAGTGGTAGGTGAAAGAAATAAGCATTAGTTACTCTGACTTTTTAGTATTAATTCTTTATATACATTTTACATTGATAATAACCAATTAATATAGCATGCATTTAGTTTCTTAGGTAAATATAAACTGCAACATTTGTTAAAGGAACATCAAGATTGCACAAGAGAACAACAACAACAATAAGCCCCAGGTAGGCACAGCCATCAGTTCCATAACGCATACTGAAATATTTTTTTCTTGTAACCTGAGGTTATCATCTTAAGACACACACACCAGTTGTGACAAACTGATGAAAGGGGCTATGAAAGATACTACTGAAACTGCTGAAAAACAGTTACCACTAGAAGGAATATCCAGTAAATCTCCTACATTATTTATATTATTAGCATTGTCTCCAAAATGCCAACACTTTATAAACCACTGTTTTCTGTACCATAAAACTGCCTGACAGCAAGCAGCACAGTACTGGAAAGCTGGTAAAAAACAAAGTTTTAAAAGTCATCTTATACTGCAGAGTAAAACATTAGGAAACTACTTTCAAACACAAATTAGCATCAGAGAAATGGAAGACAGCAGTACAATCATTAGAAGGTTGCTGATCAGGGAACAAAACTCAAACTCAAGAACTGTAAACAAAAGGCACAGCCATAGGCTCCTTCCAGGAGCACTCACAGACCAAATACAGCTGGCTGAGATGGTACAAAGCAGACAGGAAACAAAATTAACATGCTTACATTGATGAGACAGAACAGGATGCCATAGAGTTGCCAAAAGGAGGGAGTGAGATTAGAAAAAGAACAAGTGAAGAAGAGAAGCCAAAAGGGACCAACAGAAGGAATACCCAATAAAGATACACACTGAGAAAATGGGGAGAGCAAAACATACTGGTGATAAGGGGGAACAGAGTAAATCAAGAGTGTTACACAGTTAACTGGCAGCATCTTTTAAGGCTGGGGGCCAAAGGAAGCAACAAGAAAAAGAAGTAAGAGGCACCGCTAGTAAATTACTACCTTTGGCTTCCAGGTTGTGGCTTCTTTACTCCCACTTTTTCCAATTTCGCTTCATATATTCTATTTATAACATCATTTCCCAATTCACACATAAGCTACGAAGCAAAATAAATAAATTCAAACATATGAATGAAGCAAAAGGCTTCATCTATTTAGTTGTTTTTAACCTCACTCAGTCTATTTTCACAACTTAGTATTTTCACTGGTAAAAGTACACTTGCAGAAATAAGCATAGGTATCATGATAAAGAAACAATCAGTGAATAGAAACCAAATTCTGAGTAAAATAGTTAAAAATATAGTCACTTTTTAAAAGTGCCATTCCCTTCTGAAAAAATTACCATCTGTCATTCAAGAATCTTTTTCGTCCATTCAGAATGACATCTGCAGGTCTCATTAACAAAGGTACTCTTTTCCATCACCTTTGCCAGTAGCTATTCTTATCTCATCAGCAAGAGACAACTCATTTGATTCTATTCCATCATATCCAATAGCCATTTTTGCTAAACCATAATCTGTTATGTTCATAGAAAAAGATTAAACACAAAAAAAAAAGCCTGCACATACTACTTTGAGGAGAATTTGGCCCATGAAGTCCAACTTACTGACGGCAATGAACAGACTTCTTGCTTCTAATACCAGGCAAAACATTCAGCTCCAGTATTTACATGAACAGGACAAGGGGTGTAGTTTTTGGGTTTGTTTTTTTTTGTTTGTTTGCTTCCTCAGCATGAACACATTGATATTAAAATTATTTAAGGTCAAACCACAAGAGAAACACCTCCACTCACACTGTCTTTTGATTGTTCAGAGAAGCAATATCTAAGTGCCAGAACATCAGAGCTAGCAAATGCTTTGCATCAGTTAGCCAGTTGCACACATGCATCCATGCGTGAGTTCCTATTCCAGTATTTCAATGTCACATGATTTTCATAACCATGTTATGTTGCAAACTAGAATTTTGGCACACAGATAGCACACAAGAGCAGTTGCATGAGTGTTCTCCTATGAGTACAAAATCAAGATCTCACTAAGAGTTGGCATTTGAATTTTCAAGTATACTTCAGGCTGATGTAGCACTTCCAAAATTTTTCAGCCCACTATATTATTGGTCTGTAAACAGATTTCCCTTTTTACATGTTGAAAGTATCAGATGAAACTTACTACTCAAAGTGCATTTGCTAACCTGAAGTTGTCATAAGTTGTTCTGACTCGCAAGTCTGTAACAAGAATGACTACTGCTACGGCACACATAAGTGTGAATTAAACAAAACCACAAACAACACAAGTATAAACATGTTCTACTTATAAGTGCAAGACACACACTGGGTACAAATGCAAGCATTTCCTGCACTGAACTCTATGATGCAGAGGCTTTAGAACAACAATCTCAGAAACAAATAGAACCTTGTTTCAAAAATACTATCATACCTTTAGAAGTTCAGGTTCCCATGAATCCAGCGTTAAAGATCTTACTTTTGAAAAGTGGACTCCCAAGCTCCTAAACACCATGAAAAAATATTAACCTGTAACTACATGCTATGTCTTACCTCAGACAGCTTTACCATTAATTTATGCAAACAAAACAGTTATCTTAATTCTGTTTACAAACAGGGTCTCTAATCTTCCTTCAATACACAGCTGAAGCATCAAACACCACCCTTCGTAATTAAATCAATGCACAAATCAAATACAGTTCTGAAGAGCTCCCCAACCTGTGTATCCCAGAGCACCCAATGCACAGCGTGATTCCTAGGTTGATACTGGCCCAGCGAGGATCTGGCAAACCACAATCACAGCAGGCAGCATTACCAGGAATACACTGCACTCGCTGTAGAGCACTTTCTCCCTTTAACAACTTCTCTTTCACCTCACTCCCAGATTCTAGGCTTCCAGTAGAAGGGGATGATTTCTTTTCCTGTTTCTAAAAAAGAAAAGAAACAAACCAAAGAGACACACACACTAAATTAAAGAAATAAAAGTCCTACAGATACTGACTGTGCACTAGAATCCTAGAAAAGTAACTTCTGCATTTAAGGCCATGGAAAGCCACAGAACTGAAAAAATGTTTAGCTTTTTAGAATATAGAACTAAATATAGGAGTATCCTATGAATTTTAATCACATCACAGAAAAATCTCATCAAAACATATAGGCCAAAGTAACATTAGTAAGATGGAGAGAAAGATAGATTAGATACCAATCATAGCCTTCAAAATTTCATTGCATTTCCACAGGAAGACAAACAATGGATTTCTTTTTTTCCTCCCCTGCCATAAAAATAGGTTCTTTATTTTTAAATTTTCAGGATCTAAAGGGAGGTTGGTTTTGGGTTGGTTTTTAAACTTACCTCAGTCTCATCCCCTTTCTCTCTATATGCTGTAGCAATACTGGTCTGAACAGCCTTAATCCATGCCTGCCGCAGCTTTTCCGAGTCAGCCTGAAGCATGCAGCTTCTGTGACAAACCACAGATGTGCTCAGATTCAGAGACTGACCAAGCAGCTAACATCAAACAACACATTGTTCAATAAAACACAGATTCTTGAGAAAGTTTCTTACTATCACCATAAATACATTGTTTAGTAGGTATCATCTAATAACCCCCTTTATTTTGAGATGACAAAGTAGCTGGTCCTTTATGAATTGCAAACTCCTTGTTTCAAAACTATTTGCAGGCAATGCTAAAACATATAGATACGATTCTTCAAATAACCCAGAGAATGGCTTAGCTTCCTATTCCCTTTCTTTTCTTATTCCAAATCTTTCATTTTTATATCCTCACATGCAATTTAGCTCCATGACTAATTACACAAGATACAGGCATTGGTCCTCAAAAACACAGTTTCATTCACTGAGATTGAGACAAAATTATTTTAAAGCTCTCTGACAACGAATGAACTATTTTTCACACCAACAATCAAAGGAAACAAATCATGAAGTATAAAACTGTTAAAACTGCTGAAAGAGTATAGGCAAGCAGGAGCAAAATGCACATTAAAGTGAATGACAACTGAGGATGCAAACATTAGGACAGTAATCTATTAAGAGAAATGTAAGTAGGAGTGGGGAGTGTAGATAACATCCAAACCTAAAAGCAGGTTGACCTTGTATCAAAAACTTAGATATGGTCACATCTCAAAATCATTAATGAGAAATCCACGTCCTGTCCTTGCTGCGGCAGGACTGCCATTCTTCCGCAAATACAACCAATACACTGCACTGCTAGAGCTGAAAAATATTTTTCTTTGGCAGTTTCATTTAGTGCATTTTGAAATGTAACTTAAGACTACTGAGACACCAACTTACTAACATGTTTCTCTCTCATTACAATCAATCAGAAATTTGGAGAAACTAAGATCTATTTTCTACATTACTAAGCAGCTTGATAGTATCAGCTACTAAGCCACAACAGCTCCATAACCAGAAGCCATCTATAAGTAAAGCACAAGAATGCATGTTTATTTTAATGCCAAAAGTAAACTAAATACTAGGAACACTTCTCATAGCATCACTTACTCTTAGCCAAAACTTCAAAGAACAGGATTGTTGATACTTTTCCTGTTTTGATCTACCCCCAAGAGAAATGTTAATCTTGTATTTCAAGACAACTGAATGTAATGATTTTTTAATTTTTAAATAGACCTGCGCCATCACTTCCCCTTACTTTGTTGGAGAAACCACCTCAAAACAGAAACGCCTTTCTATGTCTTCACAGTGTTTAACTGTGCAAAGTCGTAAGTCTTCAACAACTACTGTGGGATTATCCTAAGAGAAAAAAAAAAAAAACACCACAAAAAAGTCACATAGAAGAATAAAGTTGCTAATAATCCCAAACAATTTATCATTTAATTCTATTTGCTTGTTTACACAAATTTTTCCTCCAAAAACAAAATTTTAAATAGGTGAAATCAGAGATACTTAGCAAGAAATATATAGATAAATTTTAATGTTTAGTTATATTTAATGAAAATTTAATACAAACTTTGGAGAATTCCTTTTTACCTACAATTCAATCTACTAAATAATCAATACTTGAAATTTAAACAACAGTATTCAAAGGAGTTCAAAGATACTTTCTAAGAGATGCAATTAACTCATAAATAAATCAGAAAGATTATACCTAAATCAGCAGTACTATAAGTGCCAAGTACAAAAACCAGAAGCTGGATGCAGCGGTTTTGAAAATTTGATTTAATTCATAAGAACTCTGTTCTAAACTAACTGCATTTTAAAGCTGCATTTAAAAAAAAAAAACACACACAAACATTAAAGTGTAATCACAATTCACAAACACAAAATGCTCAACAAAAATGTTTGTTTCCTTTCCCACCAAAAAATGAAGACCCTTGATTTGATAGCATCAGATAACAAGGAATAGCCTCTGAACATGGTCTGTTAACATTGAAGAGAAATGAATTGTCAGAAGCTCTTCCCCATTTTGTTCTTCCGTTTCTGTACAGTTCTCTATTTTTTTCCAACATGAAGAACAGTTATAGCTATGTGGTGCAAAAGCACATTCTAGCACAGCAAACAAAGGAGCACGGGCCCAAATGTTGATTGAAAAGGTTGGCTTTTACAGCTTGGGGCAGAGTTGTACTTGCTGCTGTAATATACAACAACTGTAGCTTCCCACCAGCAGAAAGACGGATATTGACTGCTGATCCACCTTACGTTTTCAGTATTAAATACATGTATATAGCATCCCTGACTGTTTCATAACAAATGCTTTCATGCCTTTTTTTTTCCTCCCCCTCTCTCCCCAGTTGCTAAATTGGATATGTGAACCCAGTAAGTAACTGGAGGGAACAAGTCCTGAAAGAGCTAACACCATTGCTCAAAGAACAGCATGGAGTATTTATCTACCAGTAAGTGCATACAAGTCTTTTGGGACCAGCAACTTTTAAGGCTCTTCATAAACCTTCTCTGCAACAGGGTAACAAAACCCTCTGCAAATAAAGTATGTGCTTACAAGTTACTGTGCAGGAATCTCAAAATCTAAAAGTGTAGCTATTAGTCTCATTTTACAAAGGGAAAAACTAATTTAGAAAATGCAGTAGGTAGTTGTAGACTACACAGGATGCCAATCTCAGCACTTTCTCCTTCCCCTGATCAATCAGGAAAACCATCACCCACATCCCAAACTACCCGAAGTCAGTTTTTGTTACCTACCTTAAATTTCTTCTGGTACACAAGTTGGTTATTTTGTATTGAGAACCAGCGCCTATTCAAATGAAGAGACATCCAGAGAATAGATAACTCATTTTACAGTGCTTATTTGACCAAAATATGCTAACATACAGTCTACAGAGAGACCGTACAAAAGAATTCACAAAAGTAATGCCGCAGTCAGTTTTGGCAAGTACTTCATGAGAAAAATGAAGAAAGGGAAAGCAGAGACAAAACAGAAAAGAAAGCAAGGTTCAAATAATTTGAGTCCTAAACAAACACATTCATGTTATGACAACATTAGTTAAGCTATCACACAAAACATTTTCATTTCAAAGAACATTTACTTCTGTATTTTAGCAGCAAGCTACAATTTTAAGTAATTGTTTTGTAACACAAATTCAGATAGTTTGAATAACAAAAATACTTAAACTATGTAAACCGCTCAATCCTGAAGTATTTTTAAGATTAGAACTAGGAAATAACTTACTAAGGCCCTAAAAATACTACAGTGTTGCTATCCCATGCAGGTTTAATGTCTATCTATATTTGGCATTTCTTAAAATTTTAGATGCTTAAGTAAAAAGATTGTATACAAAACCAAAGCCAAAAACCAAGGAAAATATTTTAAGTAGGATCCTAACTTAAGCATCAGCTTTGTAGGAGAATAGCAAATAAAAGATTTAATGAAGGCATCCTATAAAATCCAAAAGGTAACGTAACTCTTGAGAACTCCTCTGAACTGTATTCTTCCTTGTCAAACTCACTGTTCAGATGGGATACAATTCACAGAGAATGGAAAGATCATTCATATTTTGGAAAAAATTATGAGCGCCTCAGACATCTAACAATGGTGTTTTATCAGACCACTGAATATTTAAAAAAGCAGCAAATATAACCATCCCTTTCTAGCTCTTCTGGGGATGCTGAGAATAAAAGCTAACCAATCATCACTGGTTTTGAACAGACAAAAATGAAGGGAATGTAAAAAATAATTCAGTCCTGCAGTGAAATTCACACAGTTTTGTTTTGCTCAGGTTTTTAACATGAACTTGTGTTTACCACATTATAATTCCTCAATTATCTCAAATACCCCACTTATACCAGACATCACTTTCTCCTGCACTGCCAATTAGATTGAATGGTAACAGTATACAAAATATTGTATTGCAACATATCTCATTACTCTCCACAGGCTGTTGAACTTCAAGCTACTTCAATTAGTAACAAGAGGGCTCCATATATTTATTCAACCACCACAAGCCATTCATGAAAAGAAGCACACAAAGATTGTTAAGAAAAATTAAGATATACAAAACAAGTTAGATTCAAATCAGGAAATCTAGTATTTGTTAGAAAAGTTAATACTTAGTAGACAGATGAGATTCTACCTTTTAACAATTAATATTTTCAAATGTTGTGCAGATATATTTAATTTAAAAAGCAACAACAGGATCTTCTTTTAATACTGGATTTCCAACATAATAACAGTCTTCTTTTCGGGTTAAGATAATTGAACAGAATAATGCAAAAAGATAACTACTTTTTCAGTTTATTAACAGCAGTAGTTTTGGTCACTGCTATCTAAAAGGTATCACCTTTACCATCTATTTAAAAAAAGACACAGATGCAGTAATTAAGCCTCAAATATGAGCATAAGACAGGTTATTGGTAATATTTAAATAGGTAACAAAAAAGAGCACACTAGAAAGGAAAATAAACTCAGACTTATGTGCTTTTTTTGAACATAACACCAAATAGAAAAACATGAAAAGGAGTGCCTAAGTGATAAAGGAAAAAAAAAAATGCAGTCTTGCCCCAAGATAACATGCAATGGAGCAAATCCCTAATAATGGCCTTGTGTAGTATAACTAGCTTCATTAATGCAATGCTTCATCTGTTCTACAGCTAAATATTTAGAGAGTTAAAGTAAATAAGCTTCAATCTGATCAACTGGATATAAGTGAGCACACAAACTGTAAAACAAGTTTGTGTCATCTTTAAAGCCCAGTCTAGAAGTTTTCAAAATATTCCAGCCCCTTCTTTATCTAGTAGAGAAATTAAATCTGTTTAAGAGAACTTTCCAGTCCAGACAAAAAGTGTGGAGCTTTTTTTTTTAAAGAAATTCTTATTGAACAAGATCAACAATTTAGAATGTAGTATAACTTGTAGATCACACTTTTGAAATAGATGTCAATGGAAAATAAATTTAATACATTTTATTGTATGCTTGAAAAATAAAAGCAGCAGACTCCCCTCCAACATGCCAGCATCACAGCAGTTTTATTCAGGGTAAAAACCTTGAGTTATTTTATATCAACCAAGTATTATTAATAAACTCTACTCATTACTGTAGGAAACAAACTGCTGGAGGTCTACAGTAGTAACAGCCAGGAACTTCTGAGATCCAGTTTATGTACTGAAGGTGCTGTTACAGGGTATACCACATCTATCCTGTTCTAAGAATTAATGTTCAAAAACCTTTAGGCAACCTGTGTGCAGTAATCCACTATCAAAATTTCTTTAAATGTGTCATTCTGTCAAAAATAGAAGAGAAGGATGGTAAAGGAGAAAACATACTTGGGGAATCTTACAAGTAATTTGCCCTGCCTCACTCAGTAGTAGTTAAACATAGCTGTTTCGCTTTAGAAACTCAGTGTTTTCCATCATTTGTACCTACTCAATTCTAAAGAGTATGTTAAATAGAAAACAATACAAAATTCATTGAAAAAACATTTCCAATTTCTGAGAACTCAGAGTAATACCAAAAAAAATATAAAATTTAAATTTGTTTTACATTAGAAAATGAATCATGCTTATTGATTCTCAAAAGGAAACAGTTTTCTTCAATAGTTGCTATCAGCACGCAAATAAAACAGAGTGATTAAGAAATGCACAACATTTAAAACTTATCTCTATTTCCAACACAGTTGGTAAGAAAAATCTCACCAACTTCAATTGGAAAAAGTCAAAACACTGATTTTGTACGCTCAGAAGTTTGAGTGCAGAAACTTTGCTTTAATTCCTTTTCAGCTAAAACTAGCTCAATCTTGCTAATTCTTTTAAGGGTGTTGAGCAGCAGGTATACTGGCATCCCAGGCAGAATCCTTCTGTTATTTTCTTAGACTGAGCCACTTACACATCCATTGCAAGTAATAAAAATTAAATGCAGGGTTAATTAAGAGCTTTCTGCGTGCCAAAGAAACATTGGGAAGGTATAAAAGAAGCTGGTTGGTACCTGATGTGATCTGGCTTTTTCCTGTCATGTGAAAAAACGGGGTAGGATTAAAACATAAGGGAAAGGAGGAGAAGGAATGAAAAATGCAAAATGAGCAAAATAAGCAAAGAATTAGCATGATCTGAAAATACAGCAGAATTAAAAAGGAAAACATTTAATGCATCCAACCTAAAAACTACTCAGAACATACTAGTGTTTGATAAACGCTTTTCTCCCTACACATGTTTTTTCACGCATATCTTCCTTCATGATACGGACTTATTTTTCATTTGAATTTCTAGGAACCAAAACAGCTCTCCATCTACTGCTCCACAATCATAAATGCATCTGATTTCAGTTCCTGATGCCTCAAGAAAAATTGTGTACAATAAGATATATCATTTACAAACAGACATACATTCAAAAAAACAGGTCTGCATACCCATTACTGTAGGACTTTCCAGTATTTCAGATAATACACTTTAGTGGAATCAAAATGATATCCGAAATACTCATGTACATTATACACTATGCATTCAGACACAATAAAAAGAGATTGCAACATCTCGCAGCTCTTTCAAAACACAGCAACACTGAATTGCAAATAGCTCTTGTGGTTTACTTTGTAACCTGCTCACACACTGTTTCTCAAGCCAGTGTCATGCAGAACTACCCCAGGAATGGGAAACTCGATGCAAAAGCCCAAATAACTGAAGACTTCAGACAATGAAATCCAAGCTGCCAGCTGCCCCAGGAAGAATCTAGAGCATCCTAGCAAGAAATTAGCTTGGATTGGAAACAAAACAAGATTTTGTTCATTAGAACAGATTTGCCCCCCTTCAAAGAGCTGCATTAAATGGTTTCGATTTTTTTCTGCCCCAGCAACCAGACTTTTCCCAGAATAATCCACTATGGTGCCTATTGATCCATTGACCAAGACACACATACACAAACATCTCAATTCTCTAACTTGTTAGCTAAACTCATACTGATGTGTGTCAAACCCAGACAAAATCCATTGTATCATTTTCTTTCTTCTTATGTTTTTAATGCTGGCAAGTATACACTAAGAGCGGTAATTGCAATGATTTTCGGTGGCTTTAGTTCAGTCTTAAAGGAGTACTTAAAAAGGCCTAGGAACCACCAAAATACCAACTGACACCAACAGAGGGAAAAGAGAAGCTACCATTTTAAATACATGTTACTACTGACAGTAGTAGTTAGCAAGGAAGATCAGTGCCATCACCCTTGGCTCAGAACATGAAGAAATTCCAGTATTTCCTTCTAGGCAAATTCTTCTGTTTTTCTTACAGCTGGTTGATTTTCCATTCACCTCCCCCAAAGATGGGTGTATAATGAAGCAGCAAACTACCCACCCGAAAAGAACACTGAAAATATCTTGTCTGTCTCCGAGTCTCTGACTTCAGCTCTGAATTCCCTCATATAAAATATATAATTCTCTAAATGTTTCCTCCTTTGGTATTTCATTGTACATTTTTACACACAAACCAGTTTAATGCAATGACACAGTCCTTTCTTGTACACTACCTAGTAACGGAAAAACACTCCCACCTCTAATATATGTTAAACTTCAATCACTTATCTCTCTACAGCTGAGACTGCAATACTACATAAGTGAAGCATTCCATCACTAGAAACAGGCAGTGGAAAGTGGCAATGACCACTTCAGTGTCTAGAATGTAGCAATTACAAATGTATTCAGACATAAAAATAAGATAAAAATACTTCTCTGTTTTTATTAAAATCTGAAAAATGGGGTTAGATTCAAAAACTAATAGCTGTGTCTATGAAGGTGTTCTTAAACATCTATTTTATGATAATAGTAGTGGTTTCATAACAATTAGTAATGGTTTGTGAATATGTGAAGTACAAAATTAAAATGATTGATTGAATTTCTAAACTGTGTTTACAGATAGCATATCCAATGCAATTCTCTGCCTAATTCTGAAGCATCCAACTAGCCTATCACAGCAAGATAAGTTATCAAGAATCTAAGATTAAAAACGGTTAAAGGTTTAGCTTTGTTGAATACTCCTGTGACAAACAGGAGAATAAACTGTAAGCAAATATAAGTTATATAGTAAAAGTAGGTAGCTCTAACTCATTACTGAGCTGTTTACCTTGGTTCTCTTAAATAACTTACTGTTTGGATATGTTTTTATTATATATGTTCAAACCTGTAACTTAACCTGAAAGAATGTCATTGTGTATCTTGATTTAATTATGACTTCCCTGTATTTATTTTGTGTCCATTCAAATTTCCAAAATACAGAAGTTAGTTTTAATTGAATCCTACTCCCTAGCCACCTTAAGGTAAGATACACGTACAGTATTACTAGGTAGGAAGCTAGGTGAAAGAAGAACCTCTCTCAGCTGCCTTCCAACACTCCTGTCCTGCTCGCTCATCTTACCTCCCTACAGATCAAGGCCTTTATGCTATCCAAAAGAACCACTCAGAGAGCGACTCAGTTTTGCCTTCAGTCACTTATCAAGAGGCTGCAGTCAATCCTGCAAAACACCCTGCAAAAAGGACCCTTTCAGTCTGTTGAGAATCCAATAAAGGACAATCTCCTGCCCCATTACTGCAGATTTTTCTCAGTATGTTTAGGCTAACATTTTACTTTAGACCAGGACTGTGCTTTTGAAGCATATCTCCCGGTTCTCTCCCTTGACCATCCTTTGGTGCCTTGCAGATTTGTCTTGGAGAACTCTGAATTCTGCTTGGATGAAACTAACCCAGAAGGTACATTACAATTACAGATGGATAATCAGACCACAGGACCAGACTAGAAGTAGCCCAAAGCAAAAACCCTTATACTACTTGCACATGATTTGCACATGATACAGTCTTATCGAGGTCAGTGGCCCTTGCATCAGTCTACAGATTTAAGTGAAGCAATCCCTATTTGCTACAGACTTGTGATGTTCCAAGAATCTCAACGAATTACAGAATAACTAAGGTTGAAAGGGACCACATACACAAATACACATTCTGGCCTTTGAAACACAGCAAACAGCTTAACAGAAGCGCTACTGCAAAAATTGCAGAGCATAAGATAGTAAAAAGAACTCTCTATCACAACAAATTAAACTTGAAAATTCAGGAACTGTATCCAACTATACTGTAAATGCTCCAGCATATATAATATTTCCTTGAAAAAAGCATACACCCTTGGAAATGCAAAAGAAATCCTGTTCATGGAGAAAAATATTTAAACAATAGTAAAATATACATTGTTAAAGAGATATGACTAACAACATATTTTGAATTCCCAACAAGACCATTAAACCTACTAAGCAGAAGTCACTGCACAGGACAGAAATTGTAAAGGATAACAGTTACATGCTTATCTCTCAGGAAAAATAACTTGAGTCCTCCACTGTGTTTACCTGCTTCCAATGGCTATTCAACTTCCATTTCACTTTGTCCTCTAACACTTATTTTCCCAGTAGCATATACATTCACATAGTGTATTGTATACAATCCTAAGGAATTTCTCTGTTTCAACCCCAAAGTAAGGTCAAAATAAAATTACAGAGCCAGACTGGGTACAAAGCAAGCTTTCCATACCTAGGACTTCTCCAGCCTAAGATACATTCCTAGAAAAAGGCTTGCCAACAACTAGGACAGAAAATAAGAAAAAATGGCTTTGAAGTGACATCTCTACGTTAATTAACAGTTGTCCAAGTGTTCTGTCAAAACAGCAGAATCAGTGAGTTGCATAGGTTATAAATCAGATCAGAATTTAGCTTAACAAGCAGTATCTTAGTAAGGTAGTAAATAGAGGTTCTGAGTAATTACCTGTTCCAAGTCTTGAAGGCGTTGCTGGCTCGCTTAAATAGATAACCTTCCATAACAATACCATTGGCTGCATCTACATTGTATTCTAGTTTAGTATCATCACTGGAATAATCCTAGTACAAAGGAACAAGACAAGAAAAAAAACAATGCAGTTTCAAATGAAACTTCAAATATGGGCAGTATTAATGTCAAATAGAGTAACATCTAGGAATAATGTTTTGCTTGCAACACTTATTAGTCAAGCCATGACTTTCAGCCCCTGACAATTTTTTTTAAAAAAATCATTTTTAGGCATTCAGAATGCTGAATATCTTTACTTTACCTGGACACAAGGGGAATTTCTTGCTCAGGTATTGGTGACCTCCATGGCCAAGAGGAGGGCAAACATTACTGACAGAGCATCTGATGCTTTCAACTGTCTGCTCAAATGGTCTTACATATATCCCAACGAAAGGGGAGACTGAGGTAGAGGAAAACGGGCAATAGGAGTTAGGAGTCAAAACTGAAAAGCAACTGCAGCCTGTTGCAGACAACCGTATAGAGTCAGTTGTGCTTCAGCATTTTCTTCAGCTGTGTCATCTTGACAAGTGAGTTGGCTTTGAACTTAGAAGACAAGTAACCAAATAAAGATGATGTTATCGGTTATCTCTAGATGAAAGTGGTCAGGCTGCTGGCAATGATGACAAGAACTTAGCAGTAACTTTTTCTTTATGATCTTTGACAAGAATATAAAGCTAGAAGTGGGACAAGGGAATATACATTTCAATCAACCTGTAAGAAAATAACAACAGCTAATAACAGTTAATAACAGCTTTACAAGTTTTAGAAATGTTAACTGCTTCGCATCTCTAGCAAAGGTAGACTAAGTAGTAATACGTGTGGTGATTATTTGCTTTCATATCTCATATGAAACAGCATAGACTCTTCCCAGGGAGCTATGGAGCTCATGTATTCAGTGAGTGGGAGGCTAACAGGGGTGCATGAAAAAGCACACACAGAATGACATCATTTATCATAAGCTATGTCCACAGATCAAAATAATATACATGCCATTTTTTAATTTCACTGATAGTAAAATATAACCTTGAAGCAGACTAACAACATATGGCTGCTTCTCCTAAACTAGGGCAGAAGAGACACGACTGAAAACTAAGTTTCAGAATGAAAAAAAAACAGGTTAAATAGTGAAGATGCAGGACATCTGATAATGTCACTCTCCCATACCTTCAGCAGGTACTTTCTGTAAGTTGCAAACATCAGCTTTGTGTAAAAAGTATGCCTGTAAATCTGTTTTGTACTTTGGCTCCTCTGGAATTTGTCTATACATAAGGGAAAAGACGCTATAAAAAAAAAGTGAGCTTCAAAACCAATACCATTAGCCCTATGTAATAGTTGAGCCTGCACGCAACTTTTATGTTACACACTATGTTTACTCTTATACATGCAGATGATTTGGTCCGATCCAAGGTTAATCAAACAAGACAGTGAAGTGGTCACAAATATCAAAATGGGCCCTTTACGCTCCCAGGTCAGCACAGCACCAAATTCCATAAAATTACTCACAGTGTTTTCAGCTATTACCAATATGAATTGATTAACTAAATTTGAAATGCTAAATCTAGATTTTTATTAATTCCCTCGCAGAAGATCAGTGCAAAAGTAAGAGTTCCAAAAGAAAATGGAACTATCATATCACTGCCATATACTAACCTGAATAAACATACAGGTTTCAAATAAAAGCTTCTCAAATGCACAAAACTGTGCATTTATTATTCAGCATTTAATAACTTTGATTTTCTGCCTGTTTTCTAGATCAGAACATGCTGAATATTAAAGACTTAATGTAAGCATAAACAGTGAAATATCACTGTACAATTTTAACTTAGTATTTCACAACTTAGGACACACACATTCTCAAAGTGCTGAAAGTCTTTTTTCTTATCCTCTCCAAAAAAAACCCAACTCCTATAAGCACAGACTTAGACGTGCTGAAGTCACATTCCCTCCCTCCCCAAAAAAACTGATGAAATACTCTAACTTACCAGCTCCCAAACATAATGAAACCTGCTAAAGATGTGCATCTTCCTGCCTCAGTGATGCCTGCAACTCCTTGTCTAGTGAAAGACAACACACATTCCCTCAGTCTTTTCTGTCCAAACTACTATGTAATCACATTTTCCTCCAGGTTTGGAGAACTGCTGCAGAAAATGCAACTGTCTTTTCCAATGAATCTAGATTTATGCTTTGAAGACATATACAAGCATGACAGGAAAACTCCTTTGGATCAGTTATCACGCTACTCTCTCAGTCCAAATTGTCTAAAACACTGAGCCTTTCTCATGAAGTGCATTTAGTGTTATTTTTAATCATTTTGCTGATTGATTTCCACCTTTATAGAGCAGACAAAGACAAAAGAGTACACAGACAAATGTCTAATATCTTCCTAACTATACATAGCAGACTACCAACTGGTGAGGGAGGGAGTAAAGCTTCTATATGCTTTATCCATAAAACTTCAGTGACAAAATTGTGGTCAGGAAAAAGATGAACAAACAAACAAAAAAACCTACCCATGCTTCATTTCAATTAAAAGGATAAAAGTAGAAAAGGGAACTAGATAAGTTGTGTCTGATCTTATAGTCTCTGCTATTTTATAACTAAGGAATAGGAGAAAAGTAGTCACATTATAGTTTATTTTTATCTTGGAACATGGAAAAGTTTAGCGAATCACAAAAAATAATCAGGGGGTAGAGAGAAATACATCCATATCTTTCCAATGTCCCGCATAAGAGAATCACATGTTAAAGGCAGTTTGTGATTCAGAATTTTGTATTCCTTAAGCAAACACGCAGTTGATAAAGACTGAATTTTAAACATCAATTATTTACTAATTAGGTGTCAGTTAGGACTAAAGCACATTTCACCTAATCAGAACTAAGAAAATTAAGCCACCATTATGAAAGTTAGACTGAAACGCTGTATCGCACATTTCATTCAGATTTGAAGAAAGGAACATCTATGGTTTTTATTCTGATATTCATTTTTCAAGGTTGGCCAACTACTGGAAGAGAAACAGGTAGAAGGGGGTTATATAAGTGAAAAGTACAGCGTGCTTTCATGCCATTTTCTTTTTCTTTTTCTTTAAATGCCCATGGCAGATAGCAAACCAGCTGGCAATGGAAAAACAACTTTCATTTCCACAATTAATACTACCCTGGTGGGTCACAGAATACTCACTATATTTGACAGTGTTTCAGTGAATGTGTTTTCATACAAACTTATCAATTTACCACACATACTGGACTCATTTCATAGCTTGCATGTTTCTGTTTCTCTACATGTAATTTTCTTGTTACCAAAACAGAAAGACCCATACTTTCTAGCAGCAGAGTTTTCGACTTACTTTCAATATGAAGACTGCTAATAGGTCATGAAAGCTAATCAAGCCATTTTACCAGTAAATCCTAGGGACTGCGAGTATCAGCATTTTAACATCAAATGTGTATTTAATAAGTTTTTTACTTTAGACAAGCAGAATCTTTAAAGTTTTTAAAAAGGCAGTAAATGGGGGAGCATAAGTAACAAAGAAAACACCAACCTGAAGTTATTCCAGCATGCATTAAACAGAAGACACTAATTGTCCAACCCCCCATTTAGAAAGTTGCTTCCATTCCCTTCCCTTCCCATCGGCAAGAGAGATGTTTGTCATGCTTAAGTTGAAAGTCCCTTGAGGAAGGGCTTAAAACAACAACAGACACAACAAGTAACAAGGTTTACAGTCCAAGACAAAGGGAAAGAAGGCAAGATAGTCATTGATCATACAAGTCACTTGAAATACTGGCACATCTTTGGTTTTTGAGACAGGAATTAGTCTGCACTACTTCTCAACAGCAGCTCTGGTTTATGCCTGCAGTAGCATCTGGTTTCCTATCACCTTGTTTACTCAAGACATTAAAAATTTTCAAATCATTCTCATGCCAGCTGTTTCCTGAACAGTACTTCGGATGTAGATTTTTTTTTAATGAAAAAGGGATTTGAATACAAAGCAAACTATTTGAAGTTTGATGCAAATGTTTTTGCTGTATCATTTCCTTCATTTTAGAACAAAATATTAGCTCTGTCACAAAACCAAAGAGCCATAATGCTGTTTACGGGTCCAACTGATTTTTAAATTATTTCTTAATTCAACATGTTACTACAGCAATAGGCTGCAAACTGCTCAGAAGACAAGACTTATAAGTCTTAAGTGATACTGACACCGTGATATCAGTCTTTTGATATGAATCTTCCTTATAAAAATATATTGCAAAAAGTTCCCAGATGATCATAACATTTCCAGATTAATTCATAGTATGTGTTGGATCAGATTAATACAGAAAATAATCTCTTACACTAATAAAATTGTTTCCTGTGTATCTGCTAAGTAAATGGAACACAAAAATTAAAAAAAAAAAAAACAAAAATCAGACACAAGTTCTCTTAACAGAAATCAAACTATAATGGTGACCAAGCCCTTCCCTGACTTTTGTATTAGCCTCTCAGACAGCAGTCTAATTTAACAGGATGATAATTATAAGGAAAAGTGAGATGAGTTATTTAATTAGTGCAATTATTCTGCATGCATATGCACATATATGTGAACACAGGTAGCAGGTGGGTAGGTGTGTGCACATGTGCACTTACCTATATATTTCAGAAAAGGAACTGTTCTTTATCCACACAATGACGAAAAGGTATCATTCTGAAGCATTAGATTAAAACTTCAGTATATTAAATGCACATATACCTCATGGAATATTCAACACAAGAAGCAGAAGTTTCAGTAGTTATAAAACATGGAAGGATTTGGCATTGGAAGATTCAGGAACATATGCCTAAGAGGCAGTCTAGTGGAAAGCAACACAACAAGCCATGAGAAGAGAACAGAGAACAAGGTTGCCACTCTGGTCAGGTTGACCAGATGACAAATAATGACATAAAGAACAAGATCCAAGGTCTAAGGCAGTTCAAGATTCTGAAATCCTGATGATCTGGAAGTAAACTTGGTGGGAAGGTTGGGAAAAGCAAGTAGGAGGAGATCAAAAAAACAGAGACAACATGATTTGAATAAGAAACCAAGAGAATTATTTCACAAGCTAGAAGAGGAATCTCTAATAAAGCACACTCTCCAAAGCCTAGTTGCATTAATCTAGGCATTATCGTCACAAAAACGCTTCAGTGACTTCACTGATAAGGACAGAAGACAACATATACAACTTGAAACACAGAACAGAGAACAATATACAATACCATCTGACTGCCCTGATTATATTTTAGAGACAGCATAAAATTGTCATTAAATTAAGAAACAATATATAAGTAACCTCATTATGATTGCCATTCGTACTAGAAACAAAGAATATTTATACCACACACAGATATAGCTTATCAAGTTTCATGAAGCTTAGAAGTTTCAATAACAATTGATACTATTAGAAATAGTTTACCTGTAAAGCAGCCTTAAGCAGCATTTGAAGAAAAAACAAAAGACTGTAAACACCATTGGCATCAGCAATGACCATAATTCATGGTAGCAAGTTATTATTTCTATGGCCAATTAAAAGATAATTGCCCATAACTCACATCCTTCACCAAGCACCGCTGTTTTCTAACAGTAAAACCCTGAACTACTGCCCACTCCTGAAACTAGGCCTATTGAGCCCAAACAAATTAAAATTTTAACATCAACATTAATTCCTAAGTTCCATCTCTTTCCCATTTCCCCTCTTTCTTCCCCTTCCTTGCCTGTAGTTTTACCCTGTCTGCTTCCAAACACAGCATATCAGCACTGCCTTAAAACCCATCATCACATCTGCTCAGTTTCAGTTACAGCAATCCTAATGTTTCTCACCAACTCCTGCAGGAATGATGGGAAGAAGTGACAAAAACATTTTTAGCAAGCAAAAATGTTACCTTTTCCCATTAGTATTAATATTGACTCCTACTAAGGCTACCTAAATTATAATCTTAGCATGTTTTCATTCCTGAATTTATTTACTCAGACTTCATTTACATTACGCTTTTTTTTTTTAAATTTATGCCACCTGAACAGATACAGAATGTAGTTGAATGAGAGTAAGAAGTGTTGCATTACCTTTAAACTGGTATCTAATCCCTTTCAAAAGTACCTGCAGTATTAGCTCACTACCGGAGAGTTCAGTGGAAATATTTTTAACTTCTAGCATTATACCTGCAAAACCAATACTGATCTAGAGCTTCTGAAACATCCAAACAACAGAAGTCATTCCCCCCCACAATATGAATTATCTACATTTTTCTCAACAAGCAAAAATAAGAATTATCGCACATATAAATCTTCCCAAAACAGCAATTTAATGTTATCACTTTCATATTTGTGTACAGTTGAACCACCATACATTAGACAGCCTTTACAAAAGTTTTCTTTTGCTCTTTATATGCAATAGCAGCGGCCACACTACCTCAAAGTGCTGCACTCATATTTGGCACAGTCCAGAAAGTGATACATATGACTGTAGGACTGTGCAGCATATACATCTCTTCTACAGACACATAGGAGGGAAAGATAGCAACTTTCACAACTATATCTAAGATGTAATAAGAATTAAGAGTTCTAATGAAATATTAGACTCCCAGCATTCAAATAAATTCTACTGTTCTATTTATGTTTCAGTCAAAACTAAACATAATATTCTGTTCTGTAACACAAAATGAATATCCGCAATCCAATCCTACGCATGATGTGCAAGTCTATTTCTCTGTGCTAAAGATACCACCCCTCACAGTTCTGATGCAGAGATGCACTGCTGGGGAGAAATGCTAGAGATACACAAATGTGTGTGCAGTCTGCCTTTTACATTCTTTCAAGTACCTTTTGTTGAATAGTGGAGTGCTTTTGCTCCATATCTCTCTTCTCCTTTGCAGCATCTACAGCCAACTGATCCAGCTGTAAAGAGAAACAGAAAATTGGATCTTTAGATATCAAAAGAAATTTGGCTCAGTAGATTTCATAATGCTGACAAAAAAAAAGAACACATTATGTCTAGACATTGCATGACTTCTGTTTTATTTGCATAGCATAATTACTTCTCTGGTCACAAAGTGTTTACCTTGAATAACCACTGAAGCCTCGTTTAAAGCACTGCACTACCATCCTGAATTAACCTCTACGAAAGGTGTACATTTCTTGTAAGCCTTAGAAGAAATGTTTCAAAGAACAGCATGGTGCCAAGCATATGCGACTCTATACCGCATTGGTGCTCAGTCTCTGAAGAGAATGACTCATGCTTTAGCTGCTCTTGCTGGCTGACTGGCCTATGCAGCAGCACTGGCATTAGCAGCAAAAACTAGAACGAGCAAATGCTAGTGATTTTTCCTTTCCACAAAGCAGGGGAATTGCCTCAATCAGGCTTTTGTATTGATAGCTTTGACCTGGTCACCAACAGTATTTGAGCAAGATTCCTTGAAATCTTCGGTAGAACCATTCAAGCTGTTCCTAGTTTCAGAAATAACAATACAATTTTGCAAAGAAGACAGACTGTCACAACAGAGAGGATTTAAGTTAGCATCCTTACAAAGTCTGTGATAATAAAAAAAGACACTACCAAAAACTTCTGCAAGCATGTCTATAGCACTACCATATAAACTTTTTCCTTTTAAAACCAGAATGAACAAAGAGGCAGGAAATTTAAGATATCCTGCAAAAGAATGGGGTGGGGGGGGAGGGGGTGTTTGGTTTTTTTGGGGGCATTTTTTGGTTGGTTGTTCTTTCGGGTTTTGGCTGCTGCTTCCCCTGCCCTCCCCCCCTCCAGATTTTGATGTTTAAATACAAAATATGGTGAAGTGGAGGAGCAGATGCTGCCTGAAAGACCAGTTAGCTTGGTACTTGTGTGGCACGCTATGGAGCAGATGAACTCCTCCTTTATCAAGTCTATATACAAGACTGCCATTAACACCAGTCACAGCATCTTACTGAATAACGATTCAGATGCAATACTGAACAGAGCAGTATAGCCCCCGGCTTCACATCTGCAGTACAGACCTCATTCTACTCCAGGCCTAGAACAAGGAGACCAGGAACAATGTGCAACACCAGTTTTCCAGCTGAAGCCAGTCATGTGGCAGAGGGCACAGTATGACTAACAGAACCTCTAATTCACACATAAATAGGATCGCCTCCACCCACTCTAATAACCACAAATGCGAACCCCTGCCAACTCTGGTCATTTTCCCCAGTGTTGTATTTCCCCTGCTTGAAATGATACAAATGAGAGGAAGAAAAAAAAGTACAATAACTGGCTTTTACACCCTTCTGCTAGACAGTCTCCAACAATTAAGGAGCCATCAGATAGTTGGGACATCTGGATCCAATTCCATACTCTCTTACTTTTCTTAACTCTTCTCTCCCTGGCTTCTTCTCTGGCTCAAATGGCTATCGCAGCACTTTCACACCTTACAGGTATTTGTGAACATCAACACGTTAAAGACTAAAGTGTCCAGATGTCATATTTATGTAGCTATACGATTTAAAAAATGATAGAAGAGCCTCTATAACAGAGACTGGGCTGCCATTGTGCTCAAAGACTGTTTTGCACCAAGAACCCGGGGAAACCCATTTTTTTCTGATGAAGGTAAGAACTAGTCCAAGGGCTGTTCAACACTTTATAGGAATCAAGTTTATTGCTAAAACCTCTGATTCGGGAATCTGCACATCGTCCCCAAGAAATTCTTCCTCCTACCCTGCTAGATGAAACAGAAGGTAGCCACGTTCAGATTAGGGCAATTACCTCTAATTTATCTTAAATACAAGTGTTTGAGGATACATTTACCACAGTATAAGTGTTAAAACAAAGTTCTTAACAGCAGCTCATTTCATAGTGCTGGGTCCTGCACTTGGGTCACAACAACCCCATGCAACGCTACAGGTTTGGGGAAGAGCAGCTGGAAAACTGCCCAGCAGAGAAGGACCTGAGGGTGTTGGTCAACAGCTGGCTGAACATGAGCCAGCAGTGTGCCCAGGTGGCCAAGAAGGCCAACAGCATCCTGGCTTGTATCAGGAATAGCGTGACCAGCAGGACTAGGGATGTGATCATCCTCCTGTGCTCAGCACCAGTGAGGGCACGCCTTGAGTGCTGTGTTTATTTTTGGGTCCCTCACCACAAGAAAGACCTTGAGGTGCTGGAGCAAGTCCAGAGAAGGGCAATGAAGCTGGTGAAGGGCCTGGAGGGTAAGTCTTATGAGGAGCAGCTGAGGGAGCTGGGGGGTTGTTTAACCTGGAGAAAAGGAGGCTCAGCGGAGACCTTATCACTCTCTACAACTACTTGGAAGGAGGCTGTAGTGAGGTGAGGGTCGGTCTCTTCTCCCAAGTAACAAGCGATAGGACAAGAGGAAATGGCTTCAAGTTGTGCCAGGGGAGGTTTAGATTGGATATTAGGAAGAATTTCTTCACCGAAAGGGTTGTCAAGCACTGCAACAGGCTGCCCAGGGAAGTGACAGAGTGACCATCTGTGCAGGTATTTAAAAGACATGTAGATGTGGCACTTAGGGACATAGTTTAGTGGTGGACTTGGCAGTGCTAGATTTAATGGCTGGACTCTATCTTAAAGGTCTTTTCCGACATAAGTGATTCTATAATAATTTACTTTTTTTTTTACTATCAAGACAGCATTGCATCATTCCAGTTTCCAAGCTCAGAACAGAATTTCTGGTTTTCACTCAGGTGAGTAGCACAACTGTCTTAAACAAAAAAGACCAACAGCATACAACTATCAAGAGCTGTGGCCAATCACACAACTATAAAAATCCCAGCCATTATACCACTACTGGGTAGTCTTCAAAAAATTAGGTTTTTCAAAATACTACATTTACTGGTAAATGTATTTTTATAAACACATAGTGCTATAAGTGGTATTCTGTAGAGCACCAAGACAAAAACGTTTAGCTTTTTTGAATAGTCATCTCAGAATGAAAGTTCATGTAGGTTTTCTTTTTAAACTAATATCACATTTCACATGAAAAGTGCCAAACACCATAATTTCCATGTAAAAGCTTGTATTACACTTGTGTACCATTCAAGATTCCCATACAATAATCTGATTCACAAGTAATCCTACCCTGACGTAAAATATCCAGAAAGCAAAATTGCTCAATCCTATTCTGTCACATAAAGCTGTCATTTTGAAAGTGTAAAACAAAAGAATTAAAAATTATAACTATACTATTTAAGATCACTTCAATTTTAATACTTTAGGTGCTGTTAAACCTTGTAATTAAGATCATACACAAAATTTACCTGGGAATGAAAACTCACTTACCAACAGAAAGAATCCAACAGTATTTTCAGAAAAATCTAGCAAATGCCTGTTTTGTGATGTCACAACATACCTTCTCACTGTCCTGTTAAAGGCAGAAGCTTCAACCAATACAAACTACAAAGCCATTAACTGTTAAACTTTCATACAAGTCTGCTCCTGTCATGAAAAATATCCATTACTTAAATGCTAAGGTCTGCTACAAAAGAATACTTCAGCAAGTTGTACAACTTCAGGGTCTTCAGTCTATCTTTGCTCCAATTGCAACGTATTTCAAACATTCTTAGCTTTGGATTTTCTAAATTTAACTCCTTCAGTTGCTATGATACCAACACCAAAATGAATGTTACACAATGCTCCTTACCAGATCAAGCAAAAGGATGACCAGTCATTCAAAAATAAACTTGTGTTCCTTGCTCAAATAATCTCAGTGAAATGGAAACATTAAAGCCTAGCTGGTAGCATAAACCACTACCAACTCCATAGTTTTTGTCTCCTTTCCCCATCCCCTCTTCTGCAGAGGTACAGGACACATTCTACACTGTCAAAACACTACAGTTCAACAATTACAACCCAAAATGAAAGGCTGTGAAAGAATAAAAGGCACAACTAAGGACAGAGTCATGTGCACCCGAACCTTTCAAGTGCCGCTATTACACCAAACACAGAGGGCTGTAGCCATACAGTCACTTCCCTTCTTGATGGCAGTGCCAGCTCAAGCAGCCTGTCTCTTCTCAGCTGCATTATTTGCTTGCCACAGGCATGCACACACCTCCCTGACGTGTGTTTGCGTAAGTAATTAAGACCTACAGTAATCTGACTTGTGACTAGTCTAGCAGAAAAATAACTATTAGACATTTGATTGTTGGGAGTTATTTTCTACAGTTCCCAAGCTGCTTCACTGCAGACAGAAGCAGGTTGAGAGGCACAGATGACAACAATGCTGTGGCAGCAATAACCACCTCAGAACAATGTCATTTCTTAGACATTCAATGATGCATCTACTTGAGATGAATGCAAATAAATGTTTGCCGTTGTTTATTTGCTTTTGTATCTGGATAGACACTTAGAATTTGGGTTGGCTTTATTTTGTGGATCAGGTTGGGAAGCGGCAATAGAGGGTTTTGTATCAGTGCAGTTGTTGCAAGTCCACAGACAGAGGCAAAAAAAAAATGTGCAAGTATTTCCAGGCCCATTCAGCCTGCACTGAAAACAAATGAAGACACTGCCAAGTCTTCTTCCTGCACCACAGAGAGATCTTCAGTTGAATAATGTATGTTCTTAATCCATTTTGCATAATCATTTTCAATACCTCCTGTGTGCAGTTAGCTGTGGTCCATCTAACCTTTTCATCAGTCCCTCACTGGAAACCCAGAAGTTGCAATTGTGTGTTCTTAAACAACAAAACCATTCAAAAAGGATTCCATGTATGAACTCAGTTTTGCACTACTTATTAAAATTAGGTTTCTGTTTCATGGTCTAAGTTGCTAACATCACTGTTATTTTTGGCATACTGCATAATTCATACAGTAAATAATGTATTAAAGGAGAAGGAAAAAACCTAATCTACTTTTTATTGTTAAATATATTTATAACATGGCTCATATACAAAAATTTTTAAAACAAAATAATCCAGTGTCCTGAATATCACAGAGTACCTCAAATGGCACTACATGGCTATGCTTAAGTATGTAAATCCTAAAGATTGTATTCATTTTAGTAAACAGACAATTTTCAGTTTCTAACTATTTTCATTCAAACCACTTACAGGGTATTTTTATGCTTTGCCTTTACGACACTACAGTTCCCTTTTTGTTGAATAAATCTATGATGTACCCAATACATATATCAAGTTTTTGTCCATTCCAGCACATAGTCATGAATTTTTAACGTAATTTGTTACCTGTGCACCAAGATCTTTCATGTAGGGTTCAAGTTCACTGAAAAGATCATAGCCTTGATGGAAAAAAGCCAGATGGGCATACATAAATGATAACATCTAGAAGGAAAAAAAGTGTATTTTTTAAAAGGATAAATATTTTAGATATCATATTTATATCACTTAACTAATCCACATGAACAAACTTAAAACACAATGCCAGGCTTAATTTCTGCTCTCTTGTGGTCTGGTAATTTTACATCAACATCTCATAGAGCTTCCAACGTCATAAATAAATATGCAAGGTAAAGACAGCAAAGAACCAAGCCAAAAATCTCAGAAATTAGTTAGTAGGATTAACCGCATTAACAAAACAAATCTACTTGAGGGCACAAAATTAATTCTAATTCATGTCACCTCAAACTTTTGTTATCTCCTGTTTAACTAGGACATGTAAATTAGAGAGAGGCTACAAAATATATTTGATATATATTGATATAATGAATATAATGATCCAAAACCATAACCTTTCTGAACATAGCTAGGAAGACTTTCCAGTCTTAAAAAAGAAAACAAGTTGGGAAGATGCAGAGCAGAACGGCAAGCAGCTATAAAGCTGCAATCCAACTGAAGTTTTTGCTATTTAAAGGAATTAAGGAAGTTCCAGGAGTGCAACTTCAGACATTTGAAAGAAAAGCACCATTTAATTTGGCAGTCTCTACCTCAGTAAAATTTTACAGAGATAATGTGAAGCAGAAAAGGGAATACAATCAGAAGAAAATTAGCATGCAGATGTAGCTGTGTATCAATTTAGCACATGCCATACTAAAGCATCATGTATATCTGCTATTACATTATGCTATTTACATAAAAAATACCATTTTTTGTAGAAAGAGCTGAATCTATCTTAGAATAGATTATAAGAAGCACTTATTATCAACTAACATAGCAGACCTAAACAGCAGAATTCTTGGCAGACAAAGTTTGATTTTAACCATGAAACACATACCAAAGAGTCAACAGAAGTGAACATCTTGCTCAAATCTTGTTCAAATCTGAACCAAAATGATTGTCAAAAACAGTTAAGCATCTATGCCCAGTTATAGTAAAGGCCAAACCACCAAATGTACCGATACTGTTTTGACAGGTAAAAGGACTAAATTTTTAATATACTGCTTTGCAGTCACATTTTTAATTTCATATATATTTAAATATTTTCTATACAGAAAATAAGATATATCTTACCGATTTTAAGATTTCTGCTCTCCTTTTAGACTGAAGAACATTGATCTAGAAAAAAAACAAACAAGCAACTTGCTTTATTTTACTTGCAAATCTTCCACACAGAAGTAAACTTAAAAATACTCCCAAGTAATTGTATCAAAGCTTCAAACATTGGAAGAACATAAAACTCAATATCAGACTTCACAAAGCACTCAAAAGATGCATGCTGGTTTTGTCATGATATTAAAGCAACGCAATAAGAAAAAGCTTGCAAAGCTAGAATTTCAGTGATAGTCACAACTTCTTCATATTAGGAGGAAAAATACAAGACATCCTGTGCTAGCTAGAAGTAACATAATACACCTTCCAAGCAAGGAAAATCAGTACCCATTTTCAAGAGATTGAATTCACCATGTTTCAAATATCCTTTCTGACAGTATGAGCTAACCCAGCCCACCAACTTCTTAAAGAAGCTGCAATCAGCACCACTGCAGTCTCCTGCCAGGGGAGAAGAAAGGACAGGGGCATGTCTATTTTTCCCCTTGGGCTGACACCGTCTATAGTGTCCCAAAACTGGGATACAGCCCCAGCGTCTGAAACAAGCAAGATCATAATAGATTCAATAAGTAACTTTTCATATTTACTTGCATTTTTAAGCTAGCTGAAGTCACTGACCAATGGTGTTGCCCTAGAACTTGAAGAATTTCACATTATATAGAAAAAAATAACTGATTTTTCACATTCATCTAGTTTTTCTACCCTCTTTGTCCCCTAATCTTTAAGGTTGTCATCCAGAACTACAGATTTTACTTTAAAAGCCCCATTTAATAGAAACACACATGATTTTGTAATTTAACACCTCTATGTCAGTTTAAAATTCCAGCAAGAGAAATAAACTTACTGAAGCTATAATCAAAACCAGATTGTACTTCTATACTTAAATATCAGTATTTTAGAAAACCTTCTGCAGCAAAAATAATTAAGATTTGTTTGTATAGAACAAAACCTCAGCTTGCAAAGCAAAAAAAAAAATAAAAGGAAAGCAAAGGTTTTGAAATACATTTTAAAGCCAATATAGCTACAAAGAGACCATAGTTGTGAAGCTATTTTTCCAGAAGAAAAGAGTCACCCAAGTAGAAAGAATTCCTAAAGCTGAATTCATTTTTGCCTGCATTAATTAAGAGATGCTGAAACTTTTCCCTGTTACTTTAAATGCATCTTTATCACAGGAACTGCTCATACTTTGAACACAGGAATTCCAGGAGGCAAATGATCTGCAGTTCAATGCACACACAAGGAACTGGCCTATAGTAATGACTGCCAGCTCCCCCCGTCCCCCCTTTACTATTTGATGTTAGTACAAATAATCAAGTGGTACATAATTCACATGAGTTTTTAAACATCCAAATAAGCTTTGTACATAGTGTTCAAAAGGCAGGAGTTCAACCACTGACCACCATATATCTGTGCACGTGGCCGGGCTGATCAGACTGATTCTGCTTCACTGTACAGGTAACACATGCAATTTAAAGAACAGTTAACTAAGCTTTAAATAACTGACTGGACTGTCACAAATCAAAATGATAATGTCTAATATAAAAACAACAATATTTTAAGGCATTGTTCTGTGTTTGATCATAGGAGAACCCTAGACCCATTTAGGAGCCCCTAATCCCCTGTACCATCAAGAGTTGCAATAATCCTGTTTTGCTGTAGTTGTGGGTAATTGTGAAACAGATGAATTGTTAAGTATCAACAGAAAATTTGCTATTGCTTCACAGGATTCAGAGTAGTAGGACAAAGAACACCTCTCAACACTCTATAGGAGATCTGCAGTTCTTGATTTCCCCGATGGCACAATGCCAAATCCCAAGGCTTCTAGACAAGCAGGATTCGTTAAACAAAACCCAAAGCAAACAGCTGAAACTGTAGTAGAAGACAACATCCTGTATCAGAGTTATTCAGGTAATATGTATTTCCTAGGCTAGGTTACAGTTTTTATTTCACATATTTAAGAAACTACAGCATAGCCAAGTCACAAAATACATTTAGGTAAGTATGAGGCAAATACTGTTTTTTCAAAATTAATGTTGAAGTTGAAAATTAAACTGTGTCATTACAGCAACAGCACTGAATAACAAAACAATAAGAATAGCAAAGCGCTCAGCAATAAGAATGCATCAAGTAAATTAATTTTGCTCAGACTTCATTAAAAAAGAAATTACTTGCAGACAAAGTTACTCCTTTTTCACTGAATCTCCACAGCTTCTGAGCTTACAGTAAGAACTTCTAAAGGACAGATCTCTAACTGTATGTAACAGACTGTTTTCAAAAAATAACTTTTATTGCTGCACCTACCTGAAGAACATAATCCAGAGCTATGTGTCGAAAACATTTCCGTGTTGCAGTCAAAATATTGGTTGCTTCCTCTACTTCATGTTGCTTATTTCTTTGAACCTGGGCATTTTTTACTAGAGCATTCTCTTTTTCTTCACTAACTTTTTCAAACTGTTTCTTTGCATCTTTAAATTTCCTAATATCTCTAGAGAAAATATGGATAACAAATTAACTTCAAAGCATGAAAAATGTGTTTAAAGATACACTAGACAGACTATGCTCATGACTGTTACAGCCAGTTTCTTTGTTTTCATATTCTTCAATAAATGCTTGTATCAAGTGGAAATCATACGAAGTATGATAGCTTCTTCTCTCTCTCTCCCCCCTCGGGAAAGGACAAAATTGAAATTTAAATAAATGCATCTCATGCTTACTGGGGAAAAGCTTTGGTAAGCACTTTTCCCTAAGCTTAGACAAAGACAACGTGTAATTAAGATCAGTAATTCGTACTATTTCCACATTTCTGCAGCTGGAGCTAAAGCCTCACTGAGTTGGGGTGATTTTTGACAAGGTTAATATGCACTTCTCAATTTATGGCTGGCGATTTTCAGGAAAGATGTTTCACTAATCCACTCAAATCAGATGTTTTTGAATTCTATTTTACCTGTAATTTTCTCATTACAAGTGCAAATTAACTTACTCTTTAACAAAAGTCTGAAGCTGTGCTTTAATTGATCTTTGGGTTTGGTCAAACAGGATCTGAAAGAAAAGCATTATTATGTAGGTCAGTAACTTAGGAGGAGTCATAACTTTTCATTTTAGATGTACAGATGGTTACTATGCAGAATTAGATGAGAATTATTATTAAACCAATGTGTCTTTAGTATCAAAATATAAACCTCTTCAAAGTAGTTTTGAAATAAATAAAAAATAAGGAATAAAATAAGGAAAATAACACAAACCCAACACCTTTTACTGGTCTTTTCTTAAAGACTGTGGTTATAAGGAGAAAAAGCAGCTCCTGGCATCTTATTCCATCATTCTGACAACGTAAGACATGCCCACTTTCAAGTAAGTGTTTATTATGATTATTAAACAGTTAAGAATATTACTGTACAAATAGCCTTGAAGAAACAACTTTGAATATTAAGTAACAACTTTTTTTGATTCTTACAGACTTTCACAATTTAATCAACAACTAAAAGACAAATGGAACCATAGAAAGAACATGCCCTTAACTTCTGGCAAAAAAACACAGACTGAAATGAATACTGAAGATGTAACATACACGAGTAATTAGTACCACCTCCTTTACATGATATGTTTGTAAAACAACACCCACTGTTGAATTGCTAAGAAGAATGGCTGCTTCTTTTTCTAAGATTAAGTGTTCTAAGCCATGCTTCTCATTTTTTTTATGATTTTGGGGGATGGGAGGGGGAAGGTATAGAATATAATCATTCAAATTGTAAAGCTTGAGAAATCTATGATTCCAAGGCCAAAGCATACCTGAAAGTGAGACAACTTGTATTTTCTCTTATAACACCAGAAATTCTAATTGAGGAATGAAAAGGCACACTCCATCTTCACATCTGCCCTCTGAGTTTCAGGACAGAATGGAACATGTTAATGGCTACAGGACAAATCCTTTTGCCATTTATCATTATGCAGACCACAAATGATGCCTTAATTTCCAACTTCTTTACACCTCCCATTCTGCTTTATGGAAATATACAAGGCATGATCACAAAAAATAAGAGGTGAAAGAATCTAAAGAAGTAGTAGTTGGCCCAAGTGAACAGAACCTCTTCCAAAAGGCAAAGATCTTTAACTGTTAAATAATTTTATCGAAAGAACACATCAAGAACTCAGAGTTTCAGGTCAAACAATGTTTTTAAACATTCTCAGTCCTGTTTTCCCTGTTGACAAAATTTGGGAATGAAAAGCTATGCAATGCCAAGTACTGACAGAAAAATCCCTACCAGCTTGTTTCTCTTCTCTAGAAACACTGAAGGAAGGAAAACATGATTGAGTTTAAGTCACTCATTAACTGTGGTGCTATGTCCTCCATCCAGTCTCCATTTTTGGAAGTTTTCAAGACCAAATGGGATAAAACTCTAAGTAACATGCTCCAATCTCAGAGATGACCATGGATTTAGGCAGGCAGTGAACCAGACGTTTTCTGAGGCTCCTTCAAACCTGAATTGTCCTATATCTAACAGTAACACATGGAAGATCCTGTTTGTATTCCCACTTTGAGAAACCAGAAAAACTGACACTGGAATAGATAAAGAACTTCTTGACAAGCTGGAAGTCATACTGGGACTACTCCCACTGCTGACATTTAAGCTTGCCAGTGCCTGAGGAGTGCACCAATCAAGATCAGTACAGAAAGAGTATAACCAGATGGGAACTCAGCTGATGAGTGGACTCCCAGAAATACGAGCCTTGCAAATCTGTTTGCAGTAATGAAGAGGAAAAAAGCGCTAGGCAGAAAAATACATACACATTTTTTTCCTAAAAGAACAGAAAAAAGGGCCCAGATCATGATCTGACTAGATTTACAGGTTTTCTAACACACTACCTTTCACACACTCCAAACCAAATCTAAGAAAGCTGCTATTTGCCATAAGATGTCAAAGCTACTCCCCCACTGCTGAATCAGTAAAGATGCCGCATTAGTCAGGTTCCTAGCCTTATCTGTAGCAAAGCCTCATATGAGAAAACTCAGTCATCCAGATCTCAGTGGGACCATCTCCTACCCCCTCCCTCCTTCCTCCAGAAGATGCCTGCCTCTCCTCTTTCTTCCTCTAGCTTCTTCTCACTCATGATCACTCTGTTGCCAACTTGGTCAACAACAGAGCTGACACTCTGAGTGCTGAAGTAAAGAGATTAACAAAAAACAATGCAATACCACAACATGTCTGGCAGAGCTCTACATCAGAATCCCGTAACACACCTCACTTATGTTTGCACCTTTTGGTAAAAGCCACTGTTCTACTCACTATCCTTGCTGTGCTCAAGCAAGTGGAATGAAAAAAAAGCAGTACAAAACTCAAGAGTGGTCCTACTTAGACCTGCAAAGACATTGTCTTTTAATACGGCTTGTTCTTTGCTTTCTCCCTTCAAACTGCCATAAAGGGAAAGTTGTGCTGTGCTAAATTTTACCAAAGCACTGTAAGCCACAATCATGTAGAACAGTAACATCAGCAAGAATATAGGACCTAGGTCAGATCTGTCAAAAAGAACATACCATATACCAAAGATATGGTCAAGAGGGTAACCATCAGCAAGAAGTGTGATGAAGTGTAAAACAGGGACAGCCAACTGGATTGATCTGCTCAATCTAATCTGTAGAAACCACGGACATGAAAGTAACACTTTCTCATACTACTGCTGATTTGAACCTTTGCACTAGCTTCCCTCTACCATCAAAGCATCACTGTCCATTTAGTCTCCTCTTTACAGTTTTCATTATATTAAGTGTAGATATGTACATCTCATATAATGGAAAGGAAATCCAACTCAACAGTATTAATGTGCTTCCCTTTATTTCCCTTCCCTTCTAAAAGCATGCATTTTCAAAAAAACACTTATTAAGACCATATTAGGAAGCTAAGTTAAAGCTAACAAACTTAATTTCAGCTGAAGCTGTTTGAACTGCATTCTCTGTATCTCATTATATTTTAAACTCCTAGTTGTATTAAAAAAAAAAATTAAGTGCCCTGCATATTTTCAGCACTTTGGAGACACTTCAGTTGGTTTCCAGCTATTTGCAGTATGGGCCAAGGGAAGAGGAAGAAAATAGAAGAACGAACACCTCCCTTTGGCTTTCAGGATACAAGATTAAACTCTTCAGAGGAGAAAAAAATAAATCCGTTTTCAATCCAGGCAAAACTGAGCTTTCTGGTGAAGTCTGACATGCTAGAAATCACTATTAGTCTTAAATCCTAGCATTTTCTCCTTTCTCTACACTTGTCTAAATCTGCCATACTTCCAAAAAGAAAGCTATACACAAACCAGAGGTGGTTCATTTTGAGGATTATAAAGGACGGGGAAAAAAGTAGAAATTTTGGAAATCATTATTTTAGTCCAGTAAAGAAATATGTTCATAGTTTGTCACTGCTGCCCATCTGTTTGATTAAAAAAGATGAAACAATCCAGTATTTACTGTCTTATAGCACTGGGCTTTAGCAAAGCTTGCAAATTCCAAACAGAAAATAAAGTGAGATAAAAATCTGCAGAAAAGGGGATATTCCTAAATACTTCATAAATAAAAATTTTAAAATATTTACAATTATAAAATGGGAGGTATTTAATACCACTCTAAACCATGACTTTAGAAATACTATCAACAAGAAAAGCCTTAGCATTATTCTATTATCAAATATAACTGGACATAAGCTATCACTGTCATGTTTCAGCTAGAAATACTTACATTGTGATAATTGATCATTTCCTGTAAGGTGTCAGAGAACTTTGTCAAACTCGTCTGTAAAGAGAAAAACAGTGGTTTAAGTTAAGCCCTACCAAATACACAGCACGAAAGCAACATTTCAGAGGTTTAAAGCTTTTCAGTAAAGAACTTGGGAATTGATTTTCCTCAGCATGATTATTAAACTAAAACCATAACACTAGAAGGAGAATTGGGGGTAATATCAAGTAAATCTATTAAAGTTGCAAGCAACAAAAACGTTGCTGCTACCTACCTATATATAAAGGGCCAAACTGAAGCAAAGCAGGAAAAATTTAAATTATGTTGACTAAATTATGGGAAGTTCACATAATTTAACACCTTTACTTGCAATATTTAATATTACACTACTTAATATTTATTAATATTTAATCCTCTAACTCCAAAAACCTGGTTAACATGTTGTAATCAGCAGTACACACACATTTACTGTAGGAACTACTGCCTCCCAGCTGATATGCTTAGCAACATCAACATCAATCAGTAAAATCTATGTCTCAAAGTCAGAAAACAACAATCCCTAATATATTTGGATAACTGCTTATTGCTTACACAACAAGTGTAACAAAAACCTACTTGGAATCAAATAATGTAAGTTTTACTAGTTTGCCATCACACCACATTTCTAGCAAGTAAATTTCCAGGCAACAGTTTCAGTTGCACACAGACTGTACTGCAGTTCACAGGCATTATCTATTTCAACTAGTGTGTGAAGATGCATACATGCAATTGATGCTCTATTACATAGCACACATTAAATACACATGATATACACAGAGATCTGCAATTATACCTGCATATTACACAATTTCATACCTCATTTCAAAGTAACATAGACAGGAAATCTTAAGTGTTCCAAATTAGCCTAACAAGACATCAGTTTGAGGTTACACCATCAAAGTGGGCTCTGCACATTTAAAAATTTAAATTTCTGTGTATTGGAGAGCACTAGTTCCAGGACACAAGAGATCAACTCGGGGAATTTAGTTTCAGAGAACTGGCTCCTATAACCTCATGACTAGAACCCCTTTATTAAGCAAAGTAAACATGGCAGCTGTTCACAGCTTCAATCCAACTTTCTCCACTCCTCCCAAGATAACTATTCGTAACCTAATCCATATTTTCTGGAATTTGGAAAACTCTTGCCATTGCAGGTTAAAGCTGAAAATAAATAGCACAGACCTTTGCACTGCACCATACTCAAAAAAGCTCACTCTTAAGACATCTCAAAGAAAAAGGACCAAAAAGGCAACTCTTGCCATTGCAGGTTAAAGCTGAAAATAAATAGCACAGACCTTTGCACTGCACCATACTCAAAAAAGCTCACTCTTTGGTCCTTTTTCTTTGAGATGTCTTAAAAGGCAAATAATAGTATTAATTCCAACTACTTCTCTTGCCAATGGTTATACTTTACCCTTTTTAATTTATGCTTTTCTTCTTCCATTTTCACCTCTTAAAGAACTTACCTCAACCAATGCATCTTTACAGGAATATTGTGCAAGATCTCGAATTCCATTCATGAACTGCTTGTTGGCCATACAGAATGCTTTCCCAGTATCAATCATTGCAATACAAAGCTTTACCAGCTAAAAAAGAGGGAAAAAATGACATGAAAGTTTGTTTTGTTTTTTACACCATGAAACACACTACGCTTAGTTAAGTCTAAGAAACAAAGATACCAGAAGTTAAATTCTAAATTTACAGAGCCCCACATTCTATGAAAAGCTTTCTGTTGTATAGTGATAGCTATGAAAATACTACTCTAGGTGAACTAATATGCCATTGACAAGGTTACTCTTTATAAATTTTTTTAAATTATTTTTTGTTTGTTTTGTTGTTAACTGAGATTTTGCACATGTTTCAAGAGAGGGCTGTATGAGGGCAAAAATCGCAGCAACTAAAATATAACTGGTTAGAACTCAAGCAAATAAGTGTTTTGGGTTTTGGAGCCAAGAAACCGCAAAAGAAACCCATACCAGTTGTTTCATCTTTAGATACTCAGAATACAGGCACAGGAAAGCAAAAGGCCATGTGCACAGAGCACAACAGAAGAGAGATGTTACATCTCAGAAGGCGAAATCAATCATGTTTTCACTCACACAACAGATTAGTCTTTTTCTGATGGATTTCCACCCCTACCACTCACTGCTTAGCTCAGGACCTTCGCTATCACAGTACTGCACAGTCTGACGTGAAGGTCATCAGTACCTTGTGATAGATGTTTTCCCACTTTTTGAACCATTTATGCACTGGGCCGTTAATGAAAGAAAGAACGATTAGTGCGATCACTAAGATGCTCTTAGAGAAGCCATGTTATAATTGAGTTTGGCTACCCTAAACCAGAGAATAAAATCAGAAGATTGAACCTTTGCCTCTGAAAGGTTTTTCAAGGATGTTAGACAAATTTTCACAAAGAACAACACAGAAGTACTTGATCCTATGTTAGGGCAAAAAGAACCACCCAAGTGACCTTCTTGCATTATCTACCCAGTAATTTTAATGTTAACTCAGATCCTCTTAGGATAGAGGAAACCTAAGCATAATCTCCCACATTCTGATGAATGGTCAAGTTGCTTGAACAATGGACAGAAAAATCACTACCAACATGATCCTTTTTTCCTTCACTTTTGCTTATGGTTTACAATCCTGAACCCAGTGTCCTTTCTTCCAGAGGGGAAAAAAAAAAAAGCAGATAATGCAGCCCAAAGTCACAATTGTGGGACAACAAACCTAAGTTTAGTATTAATAACTGAGCAGAAAAAGTTACCAACTAAGTCTAAACAAATAATTACCCTCAGGCCATAGTTACTTCAGCTCACACAAGAAGCTTGGCTTTCAACTTAAGCATACTAAATCATTAATACTTCTCATTACAATTAAACTACTTAAATACTTACCTTGTGTACTTGCTTTGTTGTCAGGGGAGCAAATGGGTTTGAGCATTTTTGTTTTAAAGACTACTAGCATACTGACTCAGGGCAAAAAGTAATACTACAATTATAGCTTTTACATGATAGAATGGTATATTTGGTAATGGCCTCCTGCAAGAGGTTGGGACAAGGCCCTGAATAATGCCCCTTAAGGAATTTCAGAATTCTTTTCCCCAAAAATGACCCTCTTAGACTGGTGAAAAACACAAACTTGCAAGATAGATTTTTCAGATTCTTTACCTACACTATTTAATCTACCAAAACAGATTCATCATCCTTATAGTAAAAATGTGTCTTATAGCTATCAGTGTCACCAAAATTCACACTGAATCAAAATTAAGTATCTTAAATGTATTTTGAAAGAGCAAATGGTTACATTAATTACAAAAGCTAGAAATATTATTACAAGAAGTAACAAAAAGTCTTGAGACTTAATGCTACACCTGATACTGACTTTATTAATCTTTATCTTTCTGCAGCCAACTTGCAGCTGCAGGAACAAAAGTTCATATTAAAAAAGTAGCTAAAGGGGTGAACAAATGACATCTGCCTACCACATTAAAACACAGGCAAAAAAATTTTTAAACATCTAGCAAAAAAATGCTAAGGAACGGAGACTTCCTATAGGTGTAAAACAAAAATAAGCCACCTTCAAAACATTAGCAAAGAAAGAACAAAAGCCTCCAAATACTACTGGATAGGAAACGGATAAATGGATTGTAAGGCACTGAAAAGATGCTACATATAACCTTTCATATACATGCACAGAGCATGACAAAAAAGCAGGATGAATTTTATGGTAGTTATATCCTCCAGACGAAAGTGAAGGAGATATATATACCTATCCTGCTGTGACTGTGCCGCAGACTACCAAAGACAGAGAGCATAGACTTTGAATCTCTACAACAAAGAATATCCAGATGTCCTCACAGTATGCAATTGTCATAAAACATAAGCTCTCAATGCAGGGATGGCTAACCCCTGGCTTTTAACTCACATGAAAGCTGAATTAGTTTGCATGCAGCTCCCACTGCGGGGCTGAGTCACATGAGTGCCAGGGGCCATCAAGTCAGGAGGTTATTGCACAATCCAAACCCTCAGCTGGCAGAGAAAGTGAGTTCACACTGGCTGTTGCTGCTGTTACTCAAGCTTGAGTCTGAGACACAGCTGTGCACTCGACCCAGATCCCTTTCCTCTCCAAGAGCAGAATGCTTAGTCCACCACTGCCACTTCCCAGCTGTGAACTTTAAAACAAAACCTAAACACAACTTTTTATATTTTTCAGAACAGACATTGTTGAATTAAAAAGCTTACCTTGTCAAGTTTCAGTTCCAGTTCTGTCACATCTCCTTCTACTTCTTCTAAAGCTGCCCTGCATGGTTAAAAAATGTTTTCCTGTAAAACTTTACACAAAAATACTCTGGGACTGGGGGGAAGGGGCAGGGACGTGTTAATTTAACCTATTTATTGCCATCACTGTTTCACTTAAATTTCAACTATAAAACAGCACAGATTTTAGTGAACAACAAGAATTCCAGAAAATTTTACAGTAAAAAAGAAAAACTACATTACTGATAAAACACATAGCTTAGTAATAACAATCTGAGATGAAATTTTATTAACCCTAATGTTTATCACATTGCAATAGGTTTCCTTTATTCTTGTATAGCCAACAGTCTATTTGTTTGAAAGTCATAACAAAGGAAAGAAACTAAAATTCCAAGTGAAATTCCTTAAGTAATTCTTTTGGTGACTCTCCTGGCTCAAATGTGCAAACCTACAAACCCACAGCTATTTAACAAATGACCTTGCAATGATATTATGAAAAAAACCCAGCATTTGCTATCAGTCAACTGACTTTCAGTAAGTTCAGATGGCACACTTGTTTATATCATTTGCCTCTAGTCTAGACTGGTTGCAACTTTCAGGCCAGCCAAGTTTTACTTGCCAGTAAAAGTTGCTTTCATGAAGCATTTCTAAAGTATAACTTTTTGCTTGAGAGTTGATGTATCCTTTGACATCTCCTTCCTTGCTTATTGCTACCTGAAAAAATAGGAGAAGACTGAGAGGATGACACTTCAGAGAGCTCAAGAACATTGCAGTTGCATGAGGCTATTGCCTTGAGAGCTTGAATGTACTAATTTCTGGCAACGAATGCCCTTGCTCCCATCACAGGGCACCTAATTCTTTCAGTCATTCCAGCATAACTGTTCACGGAGCCACATTGTTCACCAGTAGTAGTCTGTCTTGGGAAAAAAAAGTAATAGGAAGTTTTCTGTAATGCTTTTTGGAAAATTGGATCAGACACATTTCACATTTCACTCCCACAAAAAAAACCCTCTTCCTGGAAAAAGTGAGACAGGCAGGGAAGTACGGTTTGGAGCAGAAATTTCCTAAGCCAGCTTTACCACTGAGGAGAGAGTATACAGAACCACAGCTTTACTGTCTCTCTGTCTCTTGCCAATTCTGCTCTAGTTCACATGAGTTCAAGCCAAGAACAAAAAATAAAAAAGCCTGGATCAGGCCCCAAACTCAAGAAAAGTAGTTTTTACAAGAATAGTTCTGAAAAACACTGCCAATCGCCTGCAGTTCTCAAACCTTGAGCATGACATTCCCAGCTTTTTGCAGATTTCACTAACACATAGTTGCATTCCAGTTTTTGTATCTAAAGGCATTCCCACAGTTACATCCTAGGTTTTATATCTAAGCACATTCCTGGGCAGTTACATTTTGGCTTCTGCCTCTTCTCTAGCTTCACACCATGAAGACTTTCAGGCAACATCAATTTCTCTTTTACTTTCCTTATTTTCTCCCATAAACAATTAACTTCCCTTTAAGTCTCTCGAGTTAAATCTTGTTTCAGAGAGCATTATGGGGGGGGAACCAAACATCACCACAAAACAAAGGTAAGTATCTCAATATTTAGACTGCAATTTTGTATTCCTTTGTTTACAATCACAGTGCAACCAGTTTTTATTTGTTTCTTTGGCACTAACATAAAAGCATGATTAAGTAGCTTGTTTACAGACCTGCAGCAAGATCTGATAAGAATTTTTTTTTAGTGTCTTTAACAAAGAGTTCTAGCTCCACGGGACTTAATTAGCTAAAAAGTTTAAGATTCAAGATGAAGAGAGAACAAGGCAGTTAGAGCAGGCAGAATGAAGACAACACATCTGCTCAGTAATTAATGGTTGGACTTGATGATCTTAAAAGTCTTTTCCAACCTAAACTATTCTATAATTCTAATTAAAGTTCTATTCCAAGGGGAAAAATTTAAGAGAGAATAAGCTCAACTGAAAGAGAAGTAACAACAGAACATTAAAAAACTGAAAAGATGAGAGGCAGGTCAAGAAAAAAGTATAAATCAAAGCAGAAAGATATATCATGGGAGAAGGGAGACATACAGCCCCTCCACCATCTGATTCATTGCAGACCATCTTTGAATGACCAGTCTTCTGAAGCACTGGGCTGGTTCTCTGGGCTATTTCCCACAACCACCACATGATGGAGGGAAGGCACACCTGAGTCCTACAGCTGGATATGGATCAAACAGCTGTTAGGCTGCAGCCAAATCCCATTTCAACTCATTGTTTCTTTGCATAGAACTGGCTACTTTCACTTTACATCATATAAAA